AACTTATTAACTGCTAAAGACTTAGGTATGGAACTAGAGTCAGGAGCCCCTCTTTACGCGTTAGTAGCTCGGGAAGTGAGTGTAGATCAAGAAGAACCTATCCCTAAGGAAGTAAAACCACTTTTGGAAACTTTTTCTGATATCTTCCCTGAAGATCTGCCCCACCAACTGCCACCTTTAAGGGACATTCAACACGCTATTGACCTAGTACCTGGAGCCTCTTTGCCAAATCTACCCCACTACCGAATGAACCCTATTGAGCACAAGGAACTCAAGAAACAAGTAGATGAGTTGTTACAACGGGGATTCATTAAGGAAAGTCTTAGCCCGTGCGCTGTCCCCGCCCTTCTTACCCTAAGAAGGATGGGTCGTGGAGAATGTATGTTGATAGCTATGCTATCAACAAAATCACGGTCAAGTACCGCTTCCCTATCCTTCATTTAGATGATATGCTTGATATGATGACTGGAGCCACACTTTTTTCTAAGATTGATCTCAAAAGTGGCTACCACCAGATTAGGATATGCCCGGGAGACGAATGGAAGACCGCCTTTAAGATCAAAGATGGATTGTATGAATGGACAATAATGCCTTTTGGTTTGAGTAACGCACCAAGCACTTTTATGAGAGTAATGACTCATATTCTTAAGCCTTTTCTTGGAAAATTTGTAGTAGTATACTTTGATGATATTCTGATCTACAGTCATTCGGTGGAACAACATTTGAATCATCTAAGACAAGTTTGTGAAATTTTGAGGAAGGAACAAATGTATGCTAATCCTATGAAGTGCACATTCCTAACGAATCAAGTAATCTTCCTTGGATTTATTATTTCTTCCCAAGGCATATCTGCTGACCCCGAAAAGGTGCGAGCAATCAATGAATGGCCTGAACATAAGAACATTAGAGATGTTAGAAGTTTTCACGGACTGGCCACGTTCTATAGGAGATTTATCAGAAATTTTAACACCATAGTGGGTCCCATAACTGATTGTTTGAAGAAAGAGGAATTTAACTGGACGACATCGGCCAGCAAGGCTTTTGAGGAAATAAAACGAAAAATGGTTAAAGCACCAATCATGCGTCTACCAGACTTTTCAAAAGTTTTTGAAGTAACTTGTGACGCATCTGGCATAGGCATAGGAGGAGTATTGTCACAGGAAGGACACCCGGTTGCCTACTTTAGTGAGAAGTTAAATGACATTAGGCAACGATACTCCACCTACGATAAGGAATTTTACGCCATCATTCAGTTCCTCAGATATTGGAGACATTACCTAGTTCCCCAAGAATTTATCATCTTCTTAGATCATGAAGCGTTACGATATATCAATTCTCAAAAGAAGCTTAATGCCCGACATGGGAGATGGGTTGAATTCTTGCAAGAGTACACATACACCATTAGACATAAAGCGGGTTCTGAGAATAAAGCTGCTGATGCCTTAAGCCGTCGGATGATGATTACTAGGGAGATGACTACTGAAGTAATAGGTTTTGAGCGACTTAAGGAAGATTACCCCGATTGCCCCAATTTTAGAGAAACCTATTCTGCGCTAGCAACTGGAGATGAACGGATCATAAGAGATTTTATGTTGGAAGATGGATACTTATTTAAATCCCAAAAACTCTGTATTCTCAAAACTTCACTTCGAGAATTTCTTGTCTGGGAACTACATGCTGGAGGTTTAGCGGGTCACTTTGGACAAGCCAAGACCATTGCGGCTGTTGAAAATCGATTCTACTGGTCTAGTCTTAAGAGGGACATTAGCAGATTAGTAAGGCAATGTCACACCTGTCAATTGGCCAAACAACGGAAGCAAAACACCGGCCTTTACACACCTCTCCCCGTACCTAACCAACCTTGGCAGGATGTTAGCATGGACTTTGTTTTAGGGTTACCCAAGCCCATTAGGAAGCATGACTCAGTCGGTGTAGTCGTAGATAGATTTTCTAAGATGGCCTATTTTCTCCTGTGTTCCAAAATTTTTTATGCTTCTAGAGTAGCCAAGCTGTACTTTGATGAAATTGTGAGGCTTCACGGGCTGCCTAAAACCATAGTATCGGACCGAGATGTAAAATTTACAAGTTATTTTTGGAAGACATTGTGGCACAAAATGGGGACCAAACTGCAATTCTCTACCGCCTTTCACCCCCAAACCGACGATCAAACCGAAGTGGTGAATAGGAGTTTAGGAAATCTTTTAAGGACCTTGGTAGGAGAAAACATCTGGGACTGAGACTCTAAATTGCCTATAGCCGAATTTGCCTACAATAACTCTGTGAACCGAACTACAGGTCTAAGCCCTGCTGAAATAGTGTACGGATACCTTCCCAATCAACCCATTGATTTGATTCCCATGAGCACTAGAGTTAGAACATCAGAGTTAGCATCATCATTTGCATCGTATTTACAGGAGTTACACAAAGAAATTAAAGAGAAAATTGAACAAAGTAATGCAAATTATAAATTTATGGCTGATCATAAAAGAAGAGCTAAAGCATTCGAAATTGGAGACTTTGTGATGGTTCGGATCAGTCCGGAGCGTTTTCCTCCTGGATCCGCAAAGAAGTTGCATGCGAGAAGCGCCGGACCATTCAAGATAATTTAAAAGGTAAATAACAATGCTTACGTACTAGACCTTCCCCAAGGTTTTAACATCAATCCCACATTTAACATAGAAGATCTAGTAACATTCGAGGGACCAGAATTTAACCCAAGCAATCCACTTATAAAAGAGCCTTGTGCGACCACACCTGGTGAGATCCCAAGCCTACCCCCACTCCCAACTTACCTCTTTTACCCAATGCAGAGACAGTTGAATCCATATTAGATGATGAGATCATTACTGCAAAAGGAGGTGGATGTCGAAGATACTTAGTTCACTGGAAAGGGACCCCGGCAACAGAGGATACGTGGGTTGACCGAGAGGAGCTGCAGCGTCTAGATCCAGACCTTCTAGAGTGGTACGAAAGCTCTAGAGACACTCACTCGACAGGGTCGAGTTTTCTCCCACCTGGTGAAAATGATGAGGACATCGACAGACGCTACCGACAGGTTTATCGACGGCGGAATCGCAGATCGACGGCCACGATTCAGCGCCTCTACTTTTGATTCAGATGTCATGATGCATTATTTAGTATTTACTGTTTTTTTTTTCATTTTTACCCCTGTGGTGAGTTACTTTGTTATTGTAGCCCAGAGGGCAATGTTGTACTTTTCTTTTTCATGAGTTGAGACCTATATATAGTGGTCTCATATGTTGTATTGGGGTTAATGATTATTTGAATGAAAAATTTGTGTTTGTTTCTACTTCTTCTTGCATGAGAGCTAAAGAAGGGAGATAGCTCAAAGGGAGCATTCGCAAGGCCCACCAGTCGTTGGAAGAGTCCGTGGCTCGTGGTTAAGTTATTCTATCTTATTTGTGTTTCCCATTCATTGTCACTTACCCAATTCATCATCCCGTTAGCCTCGAGCCAAGCCCAAAGTTCATCCCGCCAAGCACCAACGGAAACCAACCCGCCGGCCTTCCCTTGGGCCGCCGGCCACCCTTCCTCCACCACCCAACCGCCGGCCCCTTTTCCCCATTCCCCCACTTGTTCAAATTTTGAAATTCAAAATTGAATGAGATAAAAAATTTCCAAATTCGACAAAAACCAAATTAGGAAAGTTTTCAAATCTAATTCAATTTGAAATTCAAATTGAAGTGGATGTCATAATAAAGTTTCCTAATGCCTAGGTGTTGATTTGGAAGGCTCATAAATTGCTCTCCATCCTCCTCCCTCCCTCTTGAGCCACCGGCCATGCATGGGTTCCTCCCTTTAATTCCCCAATTAATGCATTAATGACCCCCTAATTTGAAATTGAATTTCTCCCCATTTTCATTCAAAATCCTGAAATTAATTTCAGGTTTTTAATTAAAAACCTCCCTCCCTCTAGTGAACCCGCCGGCCACCCCTCTTGATGGGCTCCATTAAATGCTCATTAATCCCCCTAAATTCTATTTGAAATTAGTTTCAAATAATTCCCTCCAAATTTACTAAAATCTGAGATTAGTTTCAGATTTGAGTAAATCTCTTCCTTCCCTCATCTAACCTAAATCCCCTCTCCCAAATCACCCGCCCCCTCTCTCCTACCTTGGCCGAACCCCCCCCCTCCTTCTCCTTGGAAATCCCGCCGGCTCCTCCCTCTTCCTTTTCCTCCTTCAAACGCAAGGGCTCTCCCTCACCGCCACTTAATTCTCTTCTCATTGGAGTTCTTCCCAACGCCAAGCATGCATGGCGGATCCCTAGTTTGAGTGGGGCCTTGTATTCAACGCCGACGGAAGCCTCAACATCCTAAGATCTCCGTTTTTCGACGTGAAATTTGAAGACGACGCCACCGTTGGAGATTATTTGGAGCGAGTTGTCCCTACTCTTGCAAGCGTCATCGACCGCCAACTTTCAAACTACGATTGGAGCATCGTCGGCCACCCACTCCTTCCATCTCCACCGGCTACCTCTCCACCAACGAAGTTCTTCGGCGCCTTCTCTCTAGTGGTAATATCCCCCCCCCTCTCCTCTCTTATTTAGTATGGAATTTTAATCCTTGATCAATTTAGAGATTGGTAGATAGCTTGACTGACACAATTCATAAAGTTCTTGACTGTTCAAATGTCTGAGATAGTGTTGAAGGCTTGACATGAGATGATACTCTTTAGGAGTGTACTTTCTTTACAGAGAAAGGTAATTTTTGAAGCTTGTAGGTTGTTACTTACATTGAGATTATTAAATATCATTTTCTAAGCGCTAAGATCTAATATAAAAGCCAATAATATACACAAATCCAAGCCTGAAATTTGAAATAATCCTGAAGTTATATCTTCTATATCTTTTTAGCTATCTGCTGCTAGGAATCTGCTGATTTGTATGTAATACTGGAAACTTATGAATGTTTATAGTTTCTCTTTCATCCTCTTTTTTTCTTCTTACTGTTATTAACAATTTTTTTCTTATTTATTTAGGATGATGGTGCTGCTCAACAATCATCTAAGGTATAGCATATCAAAAGGCTGACAATTCTATAAGTCTGGTGTTGTAGCTTATCAACTGTGAGAAGCAGTGCTCTCTTACCAAACTATTCCTAGTCTCATTGCATGTATTATCCATGTGTATGATTCATAATTTAAATAACATTGCGGTTGAAGTGATTGGCTTCCTTTTTTTCTCTTAGGCTTCGTTTGGGACGACTTTCTTAATGCTTCTTAAAGTAGGTTTTTAGTATAAAAATTTAAATTTTTGTGCTACAAACTTATTTTAAGAAGCAGTAAAAAAGTTGTACCAAACGAAACATTAGTCTGGTTTGATAGAGAAATTAATATTCAATCTCTTTTGTGGTAGCAATTTTTCTTTATTCTTTTATGATATTCAAAATTACCATTTGTTTTCAGCTATATTTCTTTCATGTCAAGAAAAACAAAGACAGAATTTTCATTATTATGAGATGATCTCTATGAGAATAAATGTTTGTTTGAAACAATCTTGTTTAATTTATAAATGTTTTTATTCCCTGAATTCTGTTTAATTCTAACATGACGTTTTGTTGAGCTTAGAATTAGGCACTTTTTTTGACTCAACTCCTACATAGGCATCATAAATAATGTTGACATTTAAACTGATTCCTTGTATTTGCATGTGAGTAACCGAGAGACCTCCAATAAGAACTGATGAAATGACAGAGAGTCAATGGAGCCGGTTTTATCAAATTGACTACCTACAGTGGCTTCTGACTAGGAATAATTTATCTAGGTGAGAAAAGAGGAAGATTTTTCCAATGCAAGAGTTATTGATATGGTCACAGTCCTAGGACTTGTATGCATAGAAGTTTCAGCTTCCTCTCTGATGGTGAAAGGACAGCCATGGGATTCATGGAAATTATATCCACTTGTACCTACCTTTGTTTTCACACCCAATCAACTAATCTCTAAAAAATATTCAAATTTCTTTTACAAATTTAACATACCAATAATAAAAATAAAACCTTTCATTCCACAGAAAAAATTGGTATTTGATGGACTACTGGAACACCTGAGGTTTACATCTTTTAACTTTCATCTCATACTCGCTGAAACTATTATTTGAATATCAATGTATCTACTCAACAAAATTCAAGTAGAAGTTGGTATACCTCCATCTGAGGAAAAATTATTCTGTGCAGACCCCGGACAGCATCCGGAGACCAATCAGAATTCGCCACGTCACTTTTTTGCTCGGTACCGCTGTTTATCGGTTGACGTGGTATATTCTGGTTGGTCTCCGGACCATCCGGTGTCCGCACAGAATAATTTCTCCCATAGGAGTCACACAATCTTGATAATTGATGCATGTGATTTTACAGACATTGAAGGTATCTAGAGTAACACAATCTAGTATTTGGAATCACCTTATGACCTAAAATTACACCTACTTCTAGTACAGTGTCAAATGTCAATTTCTAAATTTATGAATTTTACCACAGTTTTTAGTATTTATTTTTTTATCATATATAGTCATTATAATCTGATGCAGACCGTAATTCAACAGACCCATATTAGATATTCAGTTCGTCACAAGCGCGCTGATGCAAGAAATGCTCTCAAAGACCTCCTCAATGGGAAAGCCTCAGGTCACTATTTTCAGGTAACCATTTTGTCACCTCCCTTGAATGGAAAATATGATGCTTTTTTGTGTGATGATGGTCTTCTACAAGGCTCTTTATACTTGCTATTTTTGTCCATTTTTATGAAACCTTGCCTGTGGTCTGAGTGATTTGTATTTTTGAACATGATCAAACTGTAAGCAGTGGTACATTTATTCCCTTCTTTATGAATTATGGCATGTTTTACATAACTTCCCTTTTCACCTCATTCCTCCTCTCGCTATGTTCACTTGTTAGAATTCACTGTGTATTCCTTAAGATAAATTATAATGTACCAAAGAGCTCTAGCTCGAAAGGTAGGCTCCTGTGATTGATATAACAAGTTTGTGTTCAGCCTACAACATCCTTTAAATTAAATACTCATTACCTTTGGGTAAATTAAACTGTACCATTTTCTTTTTCTACTAAGATTATGATGCATAAAATGTATATATACTGGCAGGATGAAGACAATCGCCGACATTCAAAGAATTCAGAGAGATCCAAGCCTCAAAAAGCATCTTATGGAAAAGGCAAACAGAGCAAGCGTAAGTTTTTCTATGGCAATTTTGCTTTGCTGTCCATGACTGCCATCTGTTTCATCAAGAAATCATGAAATTCTGATACTTATTTCTCATACTTGACACTGCTTACTTATAACAATACCGTTACCTTTATCATCCTTTAATGATTTGGAAACCTGGCATGCCATTTATGCCTTTCATCTGCATTGCTTTTGTTGTTTTGTATATACTTCTGAAGGAAAGCATGTAGAATAATACTGTTGTTCAGATTGAGGTTGTTCTGGACTATATTTTTCTGAGTGCCTACTGAAGAGTGGTCTCAGATTTTTACTAATGCCTTAGATGAAGAAAATGTCTAAGATTTTATGAAGTTAATGAATATGTGGGGTGATAGGACATTTTCTATGGTTTTATGAAGGAATATGTGGAGCAACGGAGACCAACAAAAGTTTTCTGAGGCCAAAATTACTGTCATGCTTCTCTTATAATGCTATTTACCCAGCTTAAAAAAAGCTAAATTAAAAAATTGGTTAACTTGTATCAATGCTTCCACCAGGCAATCCATTGATTTATCATTCATTTAGTGATGATATATTATTATATTAGAAATACTAAAACGCATAATTATGGAGTAAATTATGTTAAAATTATAATAAAACTTAAAAAAAAAGTATTTGGCAATGATTTTTAAATTTTGAAAAACCTCCATGAATACCTTTGTGGAGGCATTGAGCAATTGTTTACTAGGTTAAAGACTAATGTAATAAGAGTTGATTATGATGATTTGATGGGCTAGGGTCATTGTTGTTAAAGGCAAGTCTATGCTCACCTAGGCGCTTATTCTGCATTATTAAGAGCTCTCAAAGATATCAAACTCTTTCGGAGGTTTACTACATGTCTAATTTCTCCTGAATAATGTAATTAAACCCTTTAATATGCAATATAATGAATTTCTTCTTTCATGTTAAGCAAATACAATCTTTCTTTTTGATAAAGTTTGTTGGACATATTTTTGATCTTATACAAAGACTCCAATTTATGTCACTAATCTTCTGAAGTTGTCTCTTCCAAGGCCTTTGTTAAAACCCATTTGGCAAACGTAATTGAATCATCAATGGAGTTTTTTCATCCATCTTAGTTTTTTCACTCATAGTCTTAGCATATTGGCACATTCTGTGAATGACTTTACAATTCCTTATAAGGCTTTGAACACCACATATCTTGGTTCTCCAAAGCTCAAAAAATTTTGAGCCATCAAATATCTAAGTATATTTCCCTCGTTTTCTTCTTTAACCTAGATATGGTACTAATTGTTAGTAAAAACACTCAACTTTTATGCAGAAGTATGTACCAAGAGTAAATACAATGAATCACAACATAACAGCAAAAGAGATCTAGCAACATGGAATAACATTAAGATTGACGTGGTTCAATAAATGATTGTTTAAGTTCACAAACATGTATAGCGTGGTGGTTTCCAGTAGATAAAAAAGATGCATCTAGTATAATATTTCAATTATTATTATTCCTTTTATAAATTCTCTCTGATTTTCCTAGCTCTTTATCCCCTCTCTCTCTTAATACCCAAGCTAATTTCAAATACCAAGAATATATATATATGTATATGTATGGATTAGATCTTGTTTCTTTGCTACCATACATTATTAACTGCTGCATATTTATCAAATTGATTTCCCTTCAAATACAGTTCGGCCAATATCAGAAATATCACCTAGCCTTCTCTTTTCTCTTCTAGGGTCGCATAAAAAGAAGAGCTTTTCTCATGAAGATGAACTCGAGCAACCTGAGACGATATTTACTGTTAACTTTGGTGGACAGCATTCTTTCACGTGGTCCTTCAACACATGGGAAAACAGTACTCACCAAAACTCTACAGCTGGTTTTGAATGGAAAGAGGAGTCCAAATCAGAGAAATACAGGGCAAGAGTTTGGAGTGAAAGTGATCTCGAAGAAGATGCAAATGTTGTAGATCAACATTCCAGTAGAGTAGCTCTTGGGTTGCCAGATTCGGGACCTTTATGTTTAGCTGACGTTAAAAGAGCGTGAGTTTTTAGTTGAAATTTTTTAAATCCTACAGCAACCTTTCCCTTTATTGTTCACTTTTTGGAGTCTCAAATCTCAATGATACTTTAACAAATTTCAGCTTTCGTGAGTCTGCTCTGAAGTGGCACCCAGACAGACATCATGGCCTTGCACAGGTTAGCCATTCATGCCATTATTTAACTATTTGATAGAAAGTATCCAGATTCTACACCATTATCTAGACCTGCTTTATCATAAACTATTAACGGTACAGTTGTATGAGTTGGCAGTAGGGGTGCAAACGAGTCGAGTTGAGCTCCAGGAGATGTTCGAGTCGAGCTCGACTGCCAAACACCAAGCTTAAGCTCAAACTCGAGTCGAGCTCAAAATCCGAGCTCGAGCTCGACTCGTCTCATGTCGAGCTCTGTTGTAGAGCCCAATCCTCGCATCCGCTGTTGTCCCGAGGTCGGAGGTCCGTCGTCATCGAGTCATCATCGAGATCCGCAGTAGAGCTCATTCGCGAGCTTGTCATCGCATCCGCCGTCGAGATCGGTTGTCCCGAGGCTCTGCCGTCGAGATCCACCATCTTGAGCTCGTCATCATGTCTGTTGTCGAGATCCATCATCTCGAGCTCATCTGTCGTTGTCCCGAGGCTCTGCCGTCGAGATCCACTGTCCTGAGCTCGTCAACGCGTCCGCCGTCGAGCTCGAAATTGTTCCGAGCTTGTCTATCGCCGTCCCGAGCTCATCCGTCATTTTGGATTTCCCGCCTTGTCGCCTACGCGAGCTGCTCGTCGAGCCGACGAGTCGAGTCCAAGGCCTGTTCGAGCTCGAGCTTGATAAGCCGCCGAGCTCAACTCGTTGAGCCTGTTACCAAGTCGAGTCCAAGTCGGCTTGACTCGGTTGCACCCCTAATTGGCAGTAGCCAGAAATGTAGTATAGCACTCTTTTTTGGATTTTTTATGAATGTTGTTTAATATTTCTAATTTGGTCTATCCTGCTGCATCTCACTTCAGTTATCATAGTACATTCTTAAGTAGCTATTATAGATATCCAAAATATTTTGTAGATTTTAGCTGTTTATTGTAGTTAATTCTACCACTTCGTATATTCATCTACTATTTCATATCACTTCAACTGGTCATGAATTTCAGTTATATCACCGTATTTTGTAATTTAGGTTTCGTTTGGGATAATTTTTTTGCTGATTCTTAAAGCAGCTTTCTAGTAAAAAAAAGAAAACTTTTATACTAAAAAGCTGCTTTGAGAAGCAATGAGAAAGCCGTCCCAAACGAAACCTTAAACATCATATTGTTCGTGCTTGAATTTTAATAGAAATGAGCTGCAATACAGGATGAGGCAGCGGAGAAATTCAAGGCCTGTGTTGATGCCTACAACAATCTTTGCAATGCTCTGAAATCTTTGTAGATCACTTTCTTCTCTTCACTCTCACAGATCATCCCAGTTGACATTTAGAACCGTACAGATTTATTATGTAATACGAGCTATAAACCTATTGCATTTTTTTACCTATCTCATAGAAAAAAATACCAAGAGTATTAAATTATTTTGTCCTCTCCATGCTTTGTCTTCTTCATCTATTTTTTTCTTCGTCAAATATTCGTTTGATTGCAAGTACTAGGAAGGTAAAAAGAATTTGCTGATTTTATTCTTTGATTTTTGTCATGCCTGTGGTAGTATCATCTCTGCACCTTAATGCTACTAGTAAGGTTTAGATTTGGTTTGAGATAATTTTTGTACTGCTTTATAAAGCATCTTTTTAGTGTAATTTTTTTTTAATTGTATTAAAAAGTTGTTTTAAAAAGCAATAAAAAAGCTGTCCCAAACGAATTAAAATTTTTATACTAGAAAACTGTTTTAAGAAACAAAAAGAAAGTCGTCCCAAATGAAGCGTTAGGCTTCGTTTGGGACGGCTTTTTTATTGCTTTCTAAAACGGAGTTTTAATACAAAAATATAAAATTTTGTACTAAAACTTCATTTTAGAAAGCAGTAAAAAAGCCGTCACAAACGAAGCCTTAGGCTTTGTTTGGGACGGCTTTCTTCCTGCTTCATAAAGCAATTTTTTAGTACAAATTTTTTAATTTTTGTACTAAAAAGCTGCTTTATGAAGCAGGAAAAAAGTTGCCCCAAACGAAGCCTTAGACTTCGTTTTTTAGATGGTTTTTGTATTATTTCACAAAGCAGCTTTTTGGTATAAAAGATTTAATTTTTTACTAGAAAAAAGTTTTAAGAAACAGAAAGAAAAATGTTCCAAATGAAACCTTAGGCTTTGTTTGTAATGACTTTTTTTTATTGTTTTTTAAAATAATTATATTATTATTTCTTAGAAAGTAGTTTTAGAAAGAAAAAAAAGTATTTCTTATAATGCTATTACACATCCATTCGAACCCCTACCAAGCAAGTCTTTAATTTCTTTTAATATTAGTAAATATGCGTTATAATTTTTTATAGATAAAAATTATCAGGTAATTTAGAAATTGAAGATGAGCGAATAATCAAATGGCTACAGTCTGTAGCCATTCATTTTTTTTCTTGAGAATAGGTACACGACAGAGAAAACAGAATGATTTTTTTTTTTTTGCGAAAAATAGCAGAATCTTCTCTTTTGGAGAGTGAGAGAGCTTGATTGAAAAAAAATGAGAATTGAGAAGCACAGGTGAGCGTAAGAAGGCAGCTTTTTCTATTTAATGAAGGATTATCATAAGCCATTTTTCTTGGAAACAGTAATTAGTCTTAATTAGATACCAATTAACTGGCCAGTGGGGGGCCGTGCCCCCATGGCCCCCATGCTAAATCCGCCCATGTCCAAAACGACAATCTGGAAAAGTTGAACGATCATGTTGTGCCATTCAAATCAAGCATGCAGGAGTCTCTTTCACATCTTTTTCTACCTCTCTTGGTTTTTGTCACATGGCATTCTATCATTATCTATGATATGATCGGTAGTATCCGCTATGTAATTATTGGTTTTTGACATTTGTTATCTCTCATTCAAAATTAGGGCAAATTATTAGGTGCGTACATCGGACTTAGAGATACATCCATACATCCACTTAAAATTTGACACGTGGAGCGCATTTTTTGGATTTGATGTGTTCACGGAACTGTAAGCCAAGCACAGGAAAAGCGCAACAAAAGAACAATCAAAGTGTAACTAAAGCGCAGATAAAGCGCAATAAAAACGTAGCTAAAGAGCAGTCAAAGTGCAACTAAGGTGCAGTTAAAGTGCAGATAAATCGCACAAAAAAGGGACTAAAGTGCACTCCACGTGTCAATTTTTAAGTGGATGTCTGAACGTATCTCTATGTCTGATATTTGCACCTGATAATTTTCCCAAAACTAAAGTATGGCAGAGCAAAAACTTATTTTATTTTTATAAAGAATATTTTGTATTTTATTATTATATACTCTTTTTTGTCTATGTGTATGTACATATGTGCTTAGTAGCAACAATTCAATAGAATAAATTTCTCATTGTCTTTCTCTTTTTAGTTATTTAGTCATGCTATATTAGTATTTATTGCATGCTAATATATTTATGATAATAGAGTGGATTTATTATCATAAGTTTCAAAGAATACCTCTTGGTGCACTTAGAGAATGCTCTGGTGTTATATCATAAACATGAATCAAGAAAGGTGAACTTATCATCAACAGATCGTTGATGGTATGCTTGATTATTTTACTATAGGATGAACAACAACCTTAGTAGGGACGACGAACATCAACATTGGTATGTATATGTTTTATTGGCAATAATATGTATCGATGTTGCTATCAACAGTGGGTGTTGGCATTGGTGTTGATGGAGAGCTTCAATTTTAGCATCAATAATAGTTGTAAATGTTTGTGTCAACAGTAAGTGTCATCAATTGCATCAGTGGAGGACATAGGCATTGATGTATAGGCAAACATCTGCCTTATTATTTATGGAGTGTGTTGACATTGTTGTGTATAAAATGAATTATACATAGTGTCAAATGGGTGTCAACTTTGGTGACGACAATAAACATCGACTTAGGCGTTAGTTTTGGTGTCAATATTAGGTGTCTACACAGGTGTTACAGTGGGTGCCAACATTATTGAGAATGGTGGGCATTAGCTTTGACGTTAATAGACATTATTAGCGATGGCAAGCTTCAGCTTTGTTGGTAATAATGAGTGCAAACATTTTATAAGTATCAAGCATTAGCCACTTTGGCGTTGTTGGGCATCTTACTTGTTAGCAACAACAAATGTTTGCTTAGTTGGCAATGGCAACTATTTGTCCTATTAGTGACGATGGATATAAATCTTGGAGGCAATGAAGAGAGTTAGGTGCTTGCAATTATAGTTCTAAATTCTCTTATATAGAACCATTCTTATAGCCTTTTCACAATCCTCAAAACTTTTGAATGGATAGCTTATTTATAGATTTTTAAAGAGAAATATTACATCCGTTTTTTATTATAAATCAATAAACTTCATTAGACAATACATGTTGATCCTCTTGACCATATAATATTTTTTAGACATCTTTATGTTTCAATGAAAATAAATTAAGCAAGCTTTAGCTCATCTAATTTGTCTCATCGAGAAGTTCATTTTGACTTTAAGCATGAAAGAATTGGAGTTTGAATGGTCCTAAAATTGATCTTGGTTCAAATGCCTACAATAAGATTTTCTATAAATCCATGCTCAATCAAATGAATTTTTTGTAAGGTGCTATTTGCTCTCTATTTTAAATTTAGTGGCAACCATTCAAGGGATGTCATTATAGCCTCCTCGTGAGATCATGAAACCAAGTAATTATCTATTATTCTATTCATCATAATTTTGTTCGTTCGTAATGTTATACATCTTTTTGGATAAAAATAAATAAATAAATAAATAAAGATAAAACTCTGTAAAGTTATCCAAAATTATTTATAGAGGCTTGAGTAAGCATGTGTAGCTCCCAAATGGAATCTAAAAAATAAAATAAAATAAAAAATCCTAAAAAGTCCAAAAAAGCTAGAAATGGCACATATGGAGTGCTTTCACTTATGTGTCTCGGATTGGTCAGCTGGCATGCATACAATGGTGGGCGTGAGTTGTACACATACAACATACATGTATGGCATGATTATGAATTACCGCTATTATATATATATATTTTATATATATATATAATTAACTACATAAATTCCAAAAATTATAGAAATATTCTTCCCTCATCTAATTCCAAATCCTAAAAACTCCCTCATAATGAGCCTGATAGAGAGCATGATGTTTCTCCATATGCTCTATTTTTTCTCTAAAGAGTGAAAAAAATTATCATGCATGGGGCATAATTGTAAGTGGTGATCGAGGTTCATAATGAATATGATGAAGCTTTGATCTTCCCCTGATAAAAGAGTCGATTGTTCACATTGTTTGGTTTATATATGAAGAAGAGTAATTGAGCTTAAATGTCCATATACTGAAGCTTGGATCTTCCCCTAAAAATGTGATTGGTTATCCTCATTGAATGTGTGATATATGATGATGGGCATAAAAGATTTTGTAATCCATATAAAGACACTCCATTCTCTCTTTAAAAATGGATTTAATTGTATTAGTTTAGACAAATGTGATTCATGAGGAGTGTTTGATGTTCAAAATCCTTATAGTACGAATTCAATCTTTCCCTAAAATAGGTCAAATGCTAGCTATCATTGTAAGAATTAAATCCAAAGAGAGATCAATATGATGTTTTGTTCATTAATGAGGTCTTGTGAATATGCCATGGAAGTGAAATTCCTCTAAATTAATGGTGTTAGACAAAATTGTGACACATAAGGTCATTTTATTTTAATTTTTACTTATAATGTCCAAGCGGCCTCCATAGAAAAATCTACATTTTTAGTGATATTATGTTTACATAGAAAACTCTTTATCTATTATAAATATGATTTCACCCATTCTTCTTTGAATTTGAATATTAATAAACTAATGCTAAACTAAGGAAAAAAATGCCTCTCTCCAAGCTCTTGAAAATTTAATATTGATCAAATGAAGGTGATACCTCGTGAACCTCAAGCTATTGCATGATAATTATTAATTATTTAAGAAAATTTTCATCCCGATAAAAGACTAATCCCTTGACATGTCTTTAAGATTATATAGTACCTCCAAACTTTACTATAGAATTTCATGTTATCAAAATAAGGCATTCAAGTTAGTAGTTACATATATATTTTCCATAAAGTGAATTTGATCCTTTAAATGATGAAGTTGGGTAGTTTCTTACTTCTTTTTGATGTGTTGTCTCAAGATCTCTGTAGAGAGGATTTATAAGGTCCTTATTCGACATCACATATCCCTTAAGGCCTCTATATTAATATGTATATTGAATATTTTTAGACTTTTACCTTTTAAGGTTTATGCCTTATGACATTTTCAATAAATATAAATCATGTACCTTCTTAAATTTATGTTTGTTGAGATTTTGAATGAGTAGTAACCATCTACCTTCAAAGAATTATGCCTCCTAACTTTTTTGAATGAGTTGTGACTCTCGTTATCACTTGTTGTCATTAAAATATTCTAGTGAGTACTCTATTCAAAACTAGCTACATTGAAACTTCATAATAGACATGCTTTTTGTTTTTAATTAAGTTCCTCATACCATCAGTTGTGTTAAAAAAGAGAAAAATTATGAGTTATTTCATATGAAATTAAAACTATCCCAGGTTGTAGCATGGGATGCCACACCATGAACTTAAGATGTGATTAGAGAGGCTGAGAAACATTCACTAATGATTGTTAACATATGCAAGGTTGTTCGTCAAAGTATTAATTAATGATTAACTTATGATGGAAGAATTCAAATTTTGTTCTCTTTTGGGATTAATGATTATACCTTGATTGAGATATGATTGATGTATGTCTTTCAAATCAAGAATAAAAATGGTTTTTATTAAATCATTATTGTCCTATTGAAAACATGACTGAGATAAAGGATTTTCTACCATATATGAGGGTTGCATGTACTCCACCCAAGCTAGATTTTCCTTCTTTGGGAAGTCATTAGGGAATGGTTTATCCTCCCTTTAGAAGTGTTAGACATATTTGCCTTCTTTGGTAATCACTATTGATGCCATCTATGGTATTGGGTATAGGGCTTGTAAGGTAATGTTGACTAGTTGATTATCAATACTATTATAATTGGTTGGAGTGTCCACGAATATGGTCAGTTGCATCACAACATGCAACAAGGTATCTATCTTGCCTAACAAGTCCTAAATTTATGTTAGGTGGATCACTAGGTTTTGTTTTAAGGACATACCGTTTAGATGCTATTCCTTTTGAGAATATAGAAGTCGCCACTTTATGCAAGGGATCCCCATGGTTTGAGCAGCCACCAATTGGAATTTTTTGATCTATTAAAAAAATATCTTAATAAGAGCATATAAATATTTTAAGTTGTTGAAAGTTATTAATGAGAACTTGATCTTCTTTGTCTGCAATCGAGATGAAGAATATAGTTATGTGAGTCTTCAAGTGAGATATAATGCTGAGGGTAATGATAGAAAGATATTAGCTAAGAAAAGTGAGGTATAAGTGGTTAATGATAGAGAAGATATTAGCTAAGAAAAGTAAGGCATAAGTGGTTTGACAAACTTTGTATGCTTCAATTATTTAGAATTCACTAGTTTTTTATCACTAAAAATGAGAACGAAAAAAGTCTCCTAATTTTCAACCACTTCTCTTCCCTTTTGGAGCTTTCAATAAAATTCTTATGATATCTCTATTATTAGGGGTGTCAATAAATTTGTTGACTCAATAATCTAATTTGAGTTCAGCTCAAAGAATTTTGGTTCATCTTTGAAATCATGACTTGGTTAATTTTTTAGTAAGGTTTGGGTTGACCTGAAATTGTCCTAATCATTGTTCATGTTTGGTTTAAATGGGACACTTTCAAGTTAAACTGGTTGCATTAAGTTAAATAAGCCATATTGATCTTTTTTTTTTTAATGATCTATACAATAAACGAGCCAAGTTCAATACAAACATTTGGACCCATATGTTAAATGTGTTGTATTTAGGTCAATCATGTTCAAGTTGGATCAACTTTGAGTCAAATTCAAATCCAACATTCTAATCATAATTGATACCCCTATCCATTATTATGATTCATGTCTGATATGTCTTTTAGTTGCCATTAGTCATGAGGAGAGTAGATACTGAAAAATGCTAAACTTATTCCTCCAATTTCAATAGCACAAGTAGGTGTTAGTTTAGAACGAAGAATCGAAAGTTTCTAAATCAAATCTTAATTACCTAATATAATTAAAAATGGGTAAAAATTCATGTGTCATTTTGTTGATTTTTTGAACCATAAATCACTTATTTTTTTAATTCTTTGTTATCATACCCAATGTTTAGAACAACTATATAATAAATATTAGTGCCACTGATTAAATAACATAACTTATGATACTACTATGAACTCATTCAAATATTGTCAATTGAAATGTGAGCTCAGGCTTCTTGATAAGTGAAACAAAAGGCCCAAGTAATCACAACAAATCAAGCTGGCAGTCGAATAGGGCCGATCCAACAAGTTGACTTTGTTGTTTAAAACTCTTAATAGCTTAAATATTTTTCAAAAGAAAAAAAAATATTTTTAGACCATTGATCCTCTTACTCATTTTTTATTTTATATGGTAGCTTACTAAAATATTTCGCATAATTATTAACAAAATAAATATCAAATATCTCTCATAATAATATTTGACAATGGTTGGAATTGAATAAAACATAAATTAAAATATTATGATGCAATGCGTAGAAGCATAAGAAGATAATCTATTTTAGATTAAAAGACAAATATTTATAAATTTTAAAATGTTAATTTTTTCTAACAATTAATACCTATTTTTAAAGTTTTTTCTTTCTTTTTACAAATTTCCCATTTATATTATAATAATTTAAAGCAAACTCCGAGGTTATATTAGCCTTAGGCTATTAGCAAATAAGACTTTGCAGAGGACCAGAGGCGACCCCCGACGCCGCTCTCACAAGTCGCAAACCCTTCTTTTTTTTTTTCTGTATTTTTTAGCATCTCGAGACCTTCGACCTGCTCTCCTCTTCGTACGGCTCTCCATTTCGGAGATGCCGAGTCCCTTTCTTAGGGTTTCCAGATTTAGCACTCGTTGAATTCTTTTTCTTGTATAAAAGATTAAAATTATGTCATGTCCAGGCATGCAAACTATTTTCCGCACTCAAATCCATTTTTTTGATTGAAAACCGATATATCTGTCGGCAAGAGCTCATCCTCCGATCCGGGGCTCTGGTAACTTCGGTTTGCCTTCAATGGCGGATAGAGAGGACGAGGAGCTGCAGATGGCTTTGCGCATGAGCCTCCATGGGTCTCCTCCAGAGGCGAAGAGGAGCAAACCACGGGACAGCGCGGAAGAGTCAGTGGAGGCTAGGCGATTGCAGAGGGAACTTCTTGCTTCAGCTGCGGAGAAGAGAATGAAGGCGGCAGAAAACAAGCGCGTCATCCCGGTGCGTCCGGTGAGCGCTATTGAAGAGGTCGTGGAGAAGAGCGTCGCCACCTCTGCCGGTTCATCCGTGCCTATGGAAGAAGTGGCTTCGGGGTTACCAGATGGAAGGGTTGAAGGGCTTGGGCTCACGGAGTTGGATGCTAGAGTGGAGCTTTCACTTGCTGATGCTGATCTGCTCTTCTCCATGGTGTTTGGAAGTGACGTGTCAAAAAATATACTCGCCCAGTGGTGTAATCAAGGAATTAGGTGAGCTGCTTGGGCTAACAAATTTATTTTGTCTAGCATTCTTTGGTTTTACTTGTTTGAATACCTCAATTACTGGTTTCTTGGATTGGGGATTCCGTTTACTTTTTTGAAGTTTTAGCCATGAACATTTACATGGCTTGATTAGTCTGTGAAGTTTCATTGACTTTGATGTATGAAAATTCAGTGTTAATAAAGTATATAAGCAATGCTCAAGGTTATCACTTCAATCTTTTTCATTATCTCTAGGGGTTCCATGATATTTTACTTTGTAGTTGAAGACGCATTGTGTTTGATAAGCTTTATCAAATCGGCTTGAAATTAACAAATTTAATCAATCCTATCGTAGTTGGTGCAGGTAGTGATGCTGTCCTACCATATTATTCCTTGACCATCCTCCATTCTCGTGCAATCAGGATGGGTTCATGGTCACAACACGCAATTTCTTCTTCTAAGTCAAATTACGCATGCTACTGCATGTTGTTTTCTAATTCATGTGTTGGAAGATTATGATCTGAAGAGTCAGATGGAGGAACTTTTTACTGTTCCTTTTTATAGCCTTTTGCATTTTCTATGAGGCATGGACATAATATGGGAATACACTGCTAATTGAACAAAAATATGTAAATGAATGGCAGGTTACATTAAAGGGGTTGGGAGGAATGAAATTGGGTGTATGGTTGAAATAGTGGTGGTTTTGGGGGGGGGGGTTCTATTTAGATTTATTTTTTAGGTTTCAGTGATATAAAAAATTACCTGACTATTGGAATCAGGTGTAAAGAAAAATAATAAGAAAGATGTTTCATATATCCAGTGCATGGTCGATACCATGTGAATGAGCCCCCACATTTAAAATCCTTGCATATAAAGGTTTTTAAGTGTTAGATTGCTTGCTTCTTTATGGAATGAGTTGAAAATTTTCGAAATGAATTTTATATATAATATGCAAAAAATGTGGGTTATTTGACAATTTTGGATGACATGGAATTGGATACACTAGGTGCTATGGATTATTGGAGAAAATCCAATGGTTTTAGTTTTTGAAATATCTTTCATAAGGAGACTATTTCATATATCACTTGAACAATTGTATTTATGGCTATTTTTATGGGATATTTGATCAATGAGTAAGAGGTTATTAAAATTTTAGTTTTATATGTATGGTTTTAAATAGAGGCCAGGTCAATAAATTTAATGGTTCTATATTGCAATGAAGATCTTGAGGTTAAAATAAGCGTATAATGGAGAGATATTTGATGAACTCTATCTTGTGTTTGATTGCGTGGTCAAGTTAGGTCAAAAGTTTGGTTGAGTCCGCCAGTATGATTCCATAGTGCTAGTGTGTGTGATCAATTTAGGTTTAATGTTGGGTTGAATCCACCAATTTGTTTTGAAAATTGATGGAGTTCAAATTGATGATGTAATTAGATTTGAGAATGTGATTTCTAGTCATAATCCATCTCCTTGTTAGACCTTGGTTTGTGTGTGTGTGATGTGTGATCTAGTTAGGCTGAAAATTGGGTTGAGTATGCCAATATAATTTCTAAGTGGATTTTTATTTTATTGATTTCCAGTCAGAATCGAACTCCTTGTTAGACCATTTTAGGTCAAAAATTGGGTTGTTTGTCAATATGATTCCAAAATGGATGGAGTTGGAAATATAATTGAGCAATTAGATTGGTGAGAAGGTGATTTCTAGTTAGAATCCATCTCCTTGTTTGACCTAGGCATGTATGTCAATGGCACAAAATGGTGCGTGTCATGACGCATAGAGAGGAGTGGCGCACTTACGATGTTATTTGCTTGTTGTGGCGCACTAGTTCAAAATAGCATGCGATATTTGCAACATTTATGAGCAATAACGCATGACACAAGACGAAAATAGCACTTGCCATTTTCTTAGGTTTTGAATTTAAAATTATAGTTTATGTTAATATTTATTCAATTGAGCTTAGTTGTCCTGAATTCTTGCATTTCTTAAAGAATAAATAGACTTGAAAAAATGATTATGATAATTTGAATTTTAAATGATTGAGGTATTTATTACTTGAACTTAAGGTATCATTTTGGTTGTTTTATTAATAGTTTATCTTTCAATTTAATAGTATTTCTTAATAATATATATTTTTATTTATATTTATTTAATATTGTGAGCCATGTTTAAAATGACATGCGTCGCGCCATTGATTATGTGCTATGACTCTACATGGAACTTTGTGCCATCCTTTGTAGACAAATATGGACCTAGGTGTTTGTATTCCTATCCTAGATTTTCACCTTAGATGTATTTACATGCCATTCATTTATGGAATTTTTTGCTATCAGTGACATTCATGCATATTAAAGCTTCTCCTACTTTCATTTTCATAAATTGCAAAGTTTTCACCAGCGAGGAAACTGAGTCAATAGGAAATTGAGTAAAAAACAACATATTGATTATGTATAAAATGTGGATTATTTGATTATTAAAGAAAGTTCTAATTTAAATAAAGCTTCAAATTAGTGCATGAATGTACCATGAGTGACTGAGCGTGTATTGGTTTTTTTTTTTAAAGCAAAGAGTCATCATTTTGAAGACTATTTGTTTGCTCATCTAAGCATGGACTATTCTCATATGCCTTAAACTAATTTGTTGTTATGGACAAGTATGATATAGGAAAGTAGGATATTATATGGATATGGGATTATTCCAAGTCTTAAGCACTTGGATATGGATATTTTTTGAGATGAAAAATACCATATTCACTGATTCATGTGCGCGTACATGAGTTTGTAAATGCATGTTTGGTTCATGCATATATATGCACTTAAAATACATTTGAGTAGATAGTAATAATCCTACTATAGCATTCAATATGACATGTTAGCATGTCATACATTATTTGTGGTGACTTTGAAAATTATTGAAAAAAATATAGAATGTATCTACCATCAATTCTTAACATCTTTTTAAATAAGATAAACCAAATGATGTATCCAACGCTACATCCTTTGGATGCCCATGCATTTTAGAATATTAATACTAGTAGATAGTCCATGCAATGCACGGAAAAATGAATTTGATGAATAATATCTAATTGCGATATAATCATCTAAAAAATTGATCAAGTCAAATTTTCATATAATGGTGTAGAAGGCATTGCACTGAATGGCAATGGAGTAAGGTATTGGAAAGAGAGCTCTTCATTTCTAAGTTGGCATCAATAATCTACGTAGAATCTTTCCGTTGATGGTCCCAAAAGGGCTGGCTTAGACTTAGTGATGGCTACTTCTGGCTTGCTTTGGTATCGCTGGCCTATTGGCCTTCTTTGGTAGATGATTTGCTTAGCTCATTCATTTTGAATACTGTACTAGCGGAGGTTTTATGAGTAATTCTTTTGATATATGCTTTCTATGGTTTTATAAGTCATCAAATCATTCTTGTATGTTCTACTCTATGATGCACGGACACGGACACGGCGACACAGACACGACACGACACGGACACGAGACACGGCTTTTTTTGAAAATATAGGACACGGGTACGGCGCGGACACGGCAATACATTTTTTTATATAGTGTATATATATTAATGTAATATCATATTAAAAATGACAAACAATAATAAATGAATGACATGATAACTTGTCTAGCTTATAATATAAAATATTTAATACAAAATATCTAGTACAACCACAAAAATATAAGCAAATAATCACTTACTACAACATCAAGCATTCAAGCTTCAACTACTATGATTAGCTTTAGAGGTTTGTTTTTGGCCTTCAATATCATCATCATTGAATATCACTACTTTCAACTCTGGTTCAACAAGAGAAAGATTTGTAATTGTGCAAAAAGAGAGGAGATGAAAATACCTTCACTGCCAAAGAGAAATGAACGCGTGTCCAATTTATTTTAATATTTTTTTAATCGGACACGTTTTCGGTGTGTTGGACACGTGTCGGAGGAGTGTCGGACGAGTGTCATGTCGGACACGGTGTCGGACACTGCACGCCTCTTTGAGGAGAAGTGTCGGTGCATCATAGGTTCTACTTAATCAATAATTAGATTAAAGTTTCACCATTTGGGTACTTCTCTGATTAATTTTCTTCTGTGAGATTTTTGATTCACACCATTTTTAAAAAAATGATTGTGATAGGAACTGACTGTTGGAAAAAGAAAATTACATATAGCAGAAGGCCTATTTCGGCCTTCAAAGGGTTATAGAATTTTGAGAAAATGGAAATAGAACTTCATTTGGGTTTTCAACCCTATTATTTGTATCTTTTACAAAGTTTAAGTATGTTCTTATTTTGGTATAAACTGCTTTTAAACAATTTGCAAGATTTCTTCTCTCTAAAATGGATTAGTATACATGCATAAAACACTTACGCAACACATACTCATGCAAAGAGCAAATACAGGCATGCGTGTTTAGAGAGTTTTAAAGAAGAGGGATGGGGGAGGGGAATCGCTTTCATTAGTTTTTTATTTTATTGCATGCTGGTTTGTAGTTCAAACTAGTGCTGGGAATTACTTTTCTTTTCTTGCATGATGTTTTTAAGTTGATCTAACATTAGGGATCACAATCAATTTCTCCTTTAAAAGAACCACATTTGTACCTTTCAGATGTAGCATTTGCTTATTATGTAATTGTATCTTAAGTCATTTCAATTCAATCTTTTTTTTACTGAGAGGGTAGTTAACAAAACTAGAGTTATAGCTTTTTATGATTTATGTAGGAGGCTAAGTATAAAGGAAGTAAAAAATAAGAGATATAATTAGTTGTGGAGAGTAGGCGGTCTAAAGACTTTGATGAAGGTAAATGCATTAATAGTGAAGATAATACGATCTTAGGTAACGATGAATATGCGAAGTGAAGATAGTAATGCTATTTTGACAAACTATTAAAAGAAACCTGTGATGAAGAAACTACTTCAAAAGAGGAAATTGATTAGAATCACGAGTATAGTATAAGTTGATCTAAAGTGACAAAGTTCAATTAGTTTTGAAAAAGATGCATAAAAGTAAAATTTTAGTTTAATTAACTCTAAATACTAAGAAGATATGAAATGATGGCCTATTTGTAGCGTACCATGTTCCATGCTCATTATTGATCAGTTTTGGTAGATTTTAGGTTTCCTTGTGAATGCTAATAGCTCAAATTTGCTTGAGCTGTTGATTGGATCCAATTGTGAGATGCTTGGAAGTATGAATGGCCATGGATGAAGTATATTGTGCAACTTCTTGTACATTAGTACAGGTCTAAAATCTTAAGCATTTATGCCCCTCTCTCTGGTTTTGCGGTTGCCACTGAATGATCTTTGCCTAATTAAGAAAAAAGGGTCCTATTTACTTTGGGGTCTGGTCGAGCTATGTCTCCCAACTGATCAAGCCCTTGCTAGTGGTCTTTGTGGTGCGTAATCCTTAAAATTGTTGTATCCATTTTTGCAAAAGATGGAGAAAACATTTTTTTTATTCATTTATGGATGACTATGGCCGTTTTTTGGTCAGACTTACCCACCTTAGTTACCTGTTTCATCACATTCTTATGATTTACCTGCATCACATTGTGGTGCCACCAAGAAAAAATACAAATCATAAATATTATTGCCAAAAGTCTAATTTTGAACACTCCATCTGTTAAATCAATTGTAATTTGCTTGTAATTAAGGTGTTTTCCCGGAAGAGCAATTCAATTTTCATTGGACCCTTTTTTATACTAATGTATTCTAAATATGCTTTTTGATGTTTTAAAAACTCCCCACCCAAGGCCTGAAATAAGTGCAAGTTTATTATTAGAATTAATTAAACGTACTGACCATAGATGAACTGATCAAATGAACCAAGCAAAATTTGCCTGAGTCTTTACAAATTGAGTAGAGGAATGAAGGTCTTATTTGGCTTATTCCTTTTATTATTAAGGCGTTGCTTTTTATAAGACTTTTTTTTCCTATTAACAACTCTCATTTTTTTGTATCTGATTTTTTTGTGACATAGGTTCAGCTCAGATCCAGAAACATGTATAGGTCTGGTACAGCATGAGGGAGGCCCCTGTGGCGTCCTGGCTACAATCCAGGTAACAGTTCTCTTCTTAAAGATGCATATGGTAAATTTTACGTATTCTGAAGGCTTTTCTTCCATTTGCATGTGACATTTTCTTAATGTTGACCTGGTTGTCATGTCTCTCTGTGTTCTGGTCCTGTTTCTGCCTTTGCATGCATACCTCTTCGATCTACAGTTAATTAGGTCAGTTCTTGAAGGAGCTTGCCAAAAGATTAATGTTTTGTTAAATGGCTATTTGTAGTTGAATGTTTTAGTTGAAGAAAATATCAGTTCTAGATAGCTGCAATCAGTATTAGTATAACATTTAAGGTAATGTGTTTGTCAACGTGAACATGCAATGTTCATTTCCTTCCAACTTTCCTCTATATCATTTTTATCGAGCTTGATTACATGCTACAATATGAATCCAGTGGATCCTGGCTAGTTGATAGGGAAACACTTGTAGAAATAGAAGAAAAACTTGGCTGAAATTCGAATTTCAGCAAATTGCAAACTGTAGTAGAGAAGAAACTTGTGGTCAAACACTTAAGAAACCTTTTAATTTATAAAAGACGGAAGAAAACAAACAAGATATAATGGATCCTCAATTGGAGAGGAGGATTCAGCTCTCCCAAATCTCTAGACGTCGCTATAGCTCAAAACAATGAAGAACAACTCAATTTAGAAAAAAATACTCCCTACCCTAACCATAGGAAAACATTCTACTTAAAACAAACAATCCTAAAAGAAATTGTGAGCTTCTTGAAGTTGTCCCTAGGTCTTACTCCAATAGTCTTCTCCTTCGGGATCTCCTGATGAGTGTCCGGTGTCGATTCCTTGTGTGCCAAAAAGGCGGTGGTCATCTTGTACAGACCTCTTGAGCTGCTACCTTCCATCCCTCTCTCCAGGTGCTTTTGATCCTCCACTAATTGAGCTAGCTCCCTTGCCTATCCAAAATCACAAGGCCTTATCACTCTAACTGCCGCTCAAATCTTTGTTTTGAGTCCTTTCATAAAGTTCCCCTCCTGTATAGTCTCCGAAGCCAGTCCAGTCAATTGGCCAGGTACTCAAATTGTTCACGGTACTTCATCACTTTTCCCTCTTGCATCAAAGCAAAGAATCGCTTATAGAAGTTCCCTCCCTTACATGTACGAAAAATGTTCCAACAAGCAGCCCTCTAGGTCTGTATGGGTTGCCTTGTATCCCTCCACTGGTACCATGCTAAAGCTTTCACCTCCAAGCATATTTTGGCTGCCATCAACTCCTCCTTCATCGACCTATTGAAGGTAAAGTGTCTTTTCACCCTATAGATTCACTCATGTGCATCTTCTCCCTCAAAAATAGGCATCTTTAGCTTCGTTATCCTCATATCTCCTCCGTCACTCTTGTTTCCTCCATAATTTTTCATTCCCCAAGGGGGTGGTTCCTCCCAAGTGTGCCAATCATCCCTTCTCCACTTGTACCCAAACCTTTCATCACAAGCCCACCTTCAAATTTAGCACTCCTTCGATCATAATCAACCCCTCTCCTTTCAAATTCGACAGTCCTTCGATCATAATTGAGCCATTGCCTTTCAAATTCAGCCATTCTCCTTTTAAATTTAACATCCCTTCGAGCAAATCCAACCCCTCTCCTTTCAAATTTAGCCCTTCTCCTTTCAAATTCAACATCCCTCCGCTCATGCCCAACCCCTTAATACTTCTCCCCATACCCTTTACCCGACTCGTCCCTTGGAATATGCTCTAGTGGAAGCATTCTCTCTTCTTCCTTCACAATCTCTGCCTCATGATATCCCTTAGCCTAATTGGAGTAGGGTTTTCCCCACTTGCTTGGTCGGTGAGGGCTTCCCTTATTTCCGACGACGCCGTTTTGAGTTGACCTTCAAGATACTTCTTCAACATCTCCTCCATGATGGAAAATTTTCCATCATTCTTCTCATGGATGGATGAGAATTGTTTTTCGAAATATGACATTTTCTCTACAAAATTTGATTTCAATTGGAACACTTACAGAGATAGAAGAAATACTTAGCTGAAAGTGGAATTTCAATAAATTGCAAATAGTACTAGAGAAGAAACTTGTGATCAAACACTTGAGAAATCTTTTAATTAATTAAAGATGGAAGAAAACAAACAAGATACAATGGATTCTCAATCGGAGAGGAAGATCTGACTCTCCCAAATTTCTAGACGGCGCTAGAGCCCAAAACAGCGAAGAACAACTCAATTCAGAAAAAGTCCTCCCTGCCCTAACCCTAGGAAAACATTATACCTAAAACAAACAATCCTAAATGAAATCTCTAAACAACCCCCTCCTTTGAAATTTCCCTCCTAAACCACCTTAATCACACTTAAATGCTGCATGTTGGACCCCACATAGAGAGCGGAACAACGTAGGAGGCGAACTCCTCCGCCTTTGTTATACTTGACCGCTCTAACATTAGTATATTACTTGTGCCTAGACCCCCTTCATCTTGCAAGTACCCAATCAAATCCTTGCCCCTACCCAAAAAATTAAAACTAGAAGAGTTGCATACTATTTTTTTAACAGCTCCTATATGATAGCTTCCTTTCATATGGTATTGACGTCTTTGCTAGGGCCTTTTTCTTAATTTGAAATCACTTCTCTTCTTGCAGTCTTGTTGACTGAACTCTCCAGATGTACCTTTAGCATTGATAATTACGAATTTTCACAGAATCTGTAGGAAGCTTATATGTGCCAAATTAAGTTCCCAGATTTTAAACTTTCTGCAGCTGACATTAGTTTTTGAAGATCTTAGGCTTGATTTTACGGTAAATATGTGCTAATAATTTTTAATACTATGTCGATCAGATCATTCAGATAACTAGTGAACAAATTTTAAGAAAAAAGTTTTTTACTTGACAACGTGTTCAAATGCCTTTTAATTTTTTTTTTCACCCCACTAATTTGCATGATGTTTTCCTTCATTGAGGTGGATCTGTTGTTTGGGATCCTTATAAAATAAAACCTTGGGCGAGAAAATATCTTCGGCCTTCTCAAGTGCGGATGATTAGTTTGTGGTTTAGTTGGCTATAATGGAAGCATATGTAAATTTTTTATGCTTCCAATCTTACCTACATTTTTTTTACTTCTGCAGGCCTTTGTCCTCAAGTATCTTTTGTTCTTCCCAGATGATTTGAATAAATGTCAAGACAATAGTCCTTTGCAAAGTTTAGATTTGACGGGATTTTGCCAAAGCTCATGCTCTCCAATGAATGATTTTACATCTATAACAGAAGATAGGAAGGCAAGGTGATTTATCTATGATTTACATTTTCTCAATGTCAATGTAATTATATCTTCTGAATTGTCCTTTTTGAAATGATAAGCTTCTCTTGACGATGGAAGTAATTTTTACCTACCTTTGGGAAGTCAGGAACATGCCATTTTCTTTTAGAACTCACAATATTATATTTCATACTCAAATTTTGTGTTAAATAATGTGGGAAATTACATTAATTTATGACAGCTTTCTCTTCCCTAAATGGTCTTCATCCTGATCTTGGAAAAGGAAGGTGCATATCTAATGTGGCAAGGCTTCCCTCTATAGTAATTGAGTAGATCGTTCTGGTTCTGAAATTTTGAATAATTTTGCTTGTCCCCTTTTTCATACTTTTGCAATATGATTCTGTAATGCTTCTGGAAGTTTTCATTGGACGGTCAGGAATTGCTGCTGTGCTGAAATGCTTATTTCTATTTTAACCTAGTTCCAAAAGCATAATTCCTAGATAGAATATATCTATGCAGTGGGAAAGTTAAAACTCTTTTAATGAGCGGATTTATTTTCATGAAACTCATAGAACTTGAATCTTGGATGTCACATTAAATACTAATTGTATGAGCTGAAAATCCGGCTTGGAGAGATCAAAGCCAGATTCCTGACGGGCCAAGAACCATAGGATCAGTGGTGATACGGTGGTCTATTTTTAGTTTAAGCCATAGGATCATTGGTGTAAATCTTATAACAAGTGGTTATTGAATTATACAAATATCCAGGTTTTTAGGCTAAAAACACTACATTGTGGCTTGGATGGTCAACTCTAAATGGGTAAATGTAAAAAATATATCCCAAATACGGACCTTGCAGGAACCCTAGCATGGTAATTTTTCAGTAAGAAAATGATCAAATGATCTCTTGACTCTTTCTGAAGGACCAAAATAGACTTAGATTATGTAAAAGTTGCAATATAGTCTCATGAATCTTTAAACAAGGACTAAAATTATCCCGCCATCCAAATTAATGGAAATTGGAGTTAATGGTGTTAGAGTGGGGGTATTTTTGGAATATATTTTTTCTTCATTGATTTTTTTTTTCTATTTATTTTTCTACTTACCTTATTTCCTCGTGTATAGCTCCTAATCTCGTGTACAATTGGCAATAGATTGAGATCGTGCAGGATGCCAAGCAAGTTGATTTTTTATATTAAAGTTATTTAATTTTTTTATTATCATTATTTTGAATGTTAGACATCTCTTCGCATAGCCACTTTATCTTGATTGCTGCTCATAGGGAATCTTCACTCTTCGGCCCCATTAAGGGGAGGGAGGTGTCTTCTTCCGCTCCTCTTTCTCTTTTGTTAGGGGTAGCTTCATTGAACACGAGGTAGCTACGTGATAATCTCGTGTGTACGGTGTCAATGAGGGGAAGTTTCATCGTTGCTCTCCCGCATCCTCTGAGCCTACGTGTTTGCTGACAGAGGGAAGCATACACTTGTTTTATGCTCGTGTTATTTCTCTATCTTGGCTAGGGTAAACGTAGTAACAAAAGTAAAAATGACATGCTCCATGAGTTCCTCGTCGAGACAATAGGTTTTATGCTAAATTTAATATTCAATTTGGATAGCATAATAGTTTTGGTCCCTGTTAAAAGAGTCCTGAGAATAAATTGGCCCCTTTGCATTGTCTAAGTCTATCTTGGTCTTTCACAAATAGTCAGTGGATTATTTTGAGTTTTTTTTTTTTTTCAGTAACTAGTTTAAGTTGAAATGGACCATAGAAACTACATAAAATTAAGCAAACTCTTGCAAATCTAATCATTCCTAGGTGCTCATACCAGGGTGGTATTGAGCCAAATTTGAGCGAGTTGGCTTCAAATCAAAGTTGAATATTTTGATTTTAAATCCAAGCAAGCTTAAGTCTAGTAGAAGATGAACGATTTTGAGTTGAATTTTGAATTGATTCAAGGCAAATTCATTAATTTAATAAAATATTATTTAACTAATCCTGATTATATATATATATATATATATATATATATATATATATATATTTGTTGATAAATTTATATCAGGTCATATAATTTTGTATGTATGTATATGTTGATAACATACTCATGCGCATTTGCGCATATATATGCTTATTAGATTATTATCCTTTCATGTTGACACAATTTATTTTCTATATAACCTTCATACAAGATCAAGATTATAGGGTTGATTTACAAACTAAGAGCAATTTGGTAATCTAAATTGATTATTTTTCAATGAAAATATGACCATTGATAAAACATGAAGAAATAAATAACTTATAATGGTCCTCCCTAAAAGTACCATTGATTGAGATTTGAAATACACGCATGGGCGGGTGGGAATTTAGCTGGTATTATTATTAATTTTTTAAATATTTAAATTTAATAATTTCGAGCCGGGCTCGCGAGCCAAGCCTCATCAAGCTCGAACAATAAACGAGCTCGAGCTTGTGGCTCGATATGCTCGCCTCGCGAGCTTGTTATCGAGTCGAGCTCGAGCCGGCTCGGCTCACTTATACCCCTAGTTGGGAGTAAATAAGATGACAAACTTTTTATGGAGACTTCTTGTCCTTATTTCTAATGGCATTTTCCTTTCTAAAGAGGCCAATGACGTTCAGTAGCCCCTTATCAATGTCATCATTCTCTTCAACATTTTGTACTAATTTATTTATCAGATATCAACTGTCCATTTTGCTCTCATTTACTGAGATCTTGGATTTATTTTTAAAGAAGATTTCTGGATTAGGATAGTTTCATCTGTCAATGATTCTCGCATTTGATTCTTCCATCTTTCATTAATGATGTCAGACGTTCACTTATAAATACTCTCATTGCCATTGAAAAAATGTGCAATCATATACTTGGCCTTATCCATGGCCTCATAAATGTATCCCATTCTTCCCATCACCTTCTTAGCAAAAATTTACTTTCTCCAATCTTTATAAGCAATTATTCTCCCCAGATTCTCCTTTTGTTTATGAATGCTTGAAAAATAAAAAATGAAATGACAAATTGAATTGTATCACAACTTAAAAGCTTTTTTTTTCCTTCTATAGACTTATCGTGCGCAGTACAAATCCATGATTAAAAATAAACCTAGAGATTTCTATGGCCTTCTTGGAAATTCCTTTACTAGTTTGGATCTTTAAAATATTCTTGAACATTAAATCTAATAAGCAATGAGACGTGCATAATATTCAATACAAATGCTAGATCATTTACATAAGAAATTTACCTATTAAATAATTGAAAAGACTTACATTGTTGATTATATAACTAAATACGAAAATTTATTTCCTATCTTTTATAACTTGAATGATTATTTGTGATGAGTTTTGTAATATTTTCCTCTCAATTATTTTCAACCTAAGCTTCAACAACTCATGCAACAATATTGCATCCTTAAAAAAAAAAAATAAAGCATCCTTTTTATGCTTCAACGCAGCAATTGATTCTTGGAAAATGATTTTAAGTTTTCCCAAAATTATTTAAAACTGATTCTTCCTATTAGTGCATCCATTTGATTTAGGACTTCAATCCTTTTTAATCCTTTTATTTTTTTTTTGCTTCTTTCTTTGTGGCATCAACCTCTTTTTGGAGAAGAGCATCCTTTAACTCATGATTGGATGGGTTCATACTTGGTTCATGAAGCCCTATATCTTCAGTCATCATTTTGAAGCTATCCAGCTCAGCAAATATTGAAAGAGATGCCAGCTTGATAGAAACATCTTGTTATAGATTGGATTGCGCTCTCTCTAGCATCCTTATCAAGGCTTTATTTAATGGTAACCTATCTCACATTGGCTATTCTAGTTTCCTTAATATGGGTAGAAGATAAATAATTATTGAGAGAACCTTTTCTTGGTACCTTGGAACCAAGACTTAAAATTGTGTAATTGGGCATTGAGTTGTTTTCTGTCTGCGAGGTAAGGCGTAAGCATCAAGGAGTTTTGAGGCATAAGCCTCAAAATTTAAAAAATTGCGGAAAGTTAAAATAAAGTTTAGAAGTGATTTTTTATGTAATAATCAAATAATATGTTAAAGGATGACATATTAACTTTTTATTGAATTATGAAGTAATAAATTGGCATATAGAATTATAGATAAAACAAAAACTGCACAAAATGTAAAGTCACAACTTATAAATTGCCTGAAATAGAGAATTGAAATCCAAACATCACAAGAGAAAACAACAACAACAACATCAAGCCTTTGTCCCATTATGTGGGGATAAGGAATTGCATAAAAATATTATATAACATATAAAGTCATTTTTTGTCGGAATCGAGCAATTTTAAAAAATGCTTGGAACTTGTGCTATATTTTCCAGATACCATCAAACTTTTGCCTTTATTACCATACACCAGAGCTTAAACAATCCATTCATGCTCCTGATTATCATTAATGTTGTCTTCATTCTCATATTTAATATGCTTTGTTGCATTTTGTTGTGCTTGATAACCAAGCAAGTCTTATTTCACCTTACTGGGAACCTTCTTGCACACCTCAACTTTTTTCCGTTTCCCCTCCTCGGAATAAATCAATTTCTCCTTAGCTCAGAAAACCCCCTCCATTTTGTGATTTTATGCACTTATTTCTAGTCATATTATTTGCATAAACAAGTATCATTCCTTATGCACTGAAGTATTTCTAACAAATGCTTTTTTTTGGATTGAGCACCCTATGATTAATTCAACAAAAATAGAAAGTATATAATTATGAAATTATGTAACACAAACTACACCTTAAATATTTAATTATTAGACAAAGAAATTAAAAAAAACTACCCTTAAACATTTTCAAACAATTCTGAAAAGCATTGAACATGCCACGTGACAAAAATGCAATTGGCAAGAGGTACGAAGCACTATTGAGAAGTGTCAAAGCAACAAAAGGAGGATTAAAGCCATTTATCATGAACATCAAATAGTGCCAATAGAGCATTGAGAAACATAAATCAAATATTCCACTTGTTTAAAGGTTACATTAGGAAAATTGATTATATTATGTGGAGAAAGAATACCTAAACCTTAACCCTAAAACCTTTTATTTGAGCAAACTAGCATCGTTAAATTGAATCAAGCATGTGAAAAGCATTGCATGATCATGCCGTGTTAATAACAAAACTGCAATAAGCAAGGAGGTATGAAGCACAATTGAGAAATGTCAAAACTACAAAAGGAGCTTTGAAGTCATTTATCATGAACCTAAAATAGTGCTGATAGAGAGTTGAGGAACATAAATCAAATAGTCCACTTGTTCAAAAGTGAAAGATGGAAAAATGATGATATTAAGTGGAAAAAGAATACCCAAACCGGAACCCTAAATTTTTTTTATAGCAAACTACCATCTGTAAATTGAATCAGGCATGTGAAATTGAACCAATCATGTGCAAGGCACTTCATACTTAGAAGTGTCGAGTGCTCGATGCATGTGTGTGTTGTCACAGCAGATTGAAGTGTTGTGGATGCTCTTTGCTTCAAAAGTGTGCTTGGAAGTGCACTTTTGATAAATTTGAATTTCCCTTTCCACTTTAGCCACTCAATTTTCATTGTAGATGTCATATCCTCATCTATATTCCTATTGTTTTGCATAATTGCTCAAAGTTTCTACACTTATATCTAGTAAGTACTACTCGATCCTCCATTATCTTCCAGAATATCCTTATTAATTCCATATCTACTATAATTATCTGTCATATACCTGTTTTCCTACTAATCATAATCCCCTTTTCTAAAATAATTTTCCTCAGTTATTTTAAATAAACATTTTAATAGGGCTATATATATATAAGTAGGTCTTAAATATTGGACCTGCAGCAGACTCAACAATGACATTAGTGACTCAAGTACAACTTAGATTAACAAATATGTAACACTTAGTTCTAGGCAGTCTAACCAGATGGAAAGATGGAATTCCTATAGTGCATGTATGCTAATTCTTGTCAAAGGTTTGTATTCAAGTTGTACTAAAAAATGATGTGATATTGGTTTGTGGTCCAGCCTTACTGCGAACCAGAGGCTATCTTTTTGTTTATTCAAGCTGACACTATCTGACACGAACACGACTAAATGTAAATTTCATTTTTGTCACCATGTTTTTTTGTCAGACCATACTTTCGGACCCCTTATACTTGATGTAGCAAGCTTACCTGCCAGTTCTCTATCTCATTTTGTGTTTTTATTAGATTGTATGCCACAGCTGACTTTTCATTAATGAAAACTTTAGCTGCAAGCTTTGCGGACATTTTTCCTAATGGAGTCCCCTTTGAAAAGGCATTAATTATTTAAGTTGTCAAAAAAGTATATAGCGAGGTGCAGATTCACTATGTTATGTGGACGGAGTTTATGTGCTGAAATGATTTTTATTATATGGGAATAGCCCCAGGCCCCAGCTCCCCATCTTATTCTATTCATTCTTTGCTGGCTGCTGTCTGAAGATATATGGTAAAATGTCCATGCTTACTAGAGCATATTAAATTGTGATGTGCTTGTAGATATTGAGATAAGCAATTAGAATAGTCTATCTAGTGATGGAGATAGGCTTATTTCCGTTAGGTATAATGTAGGGTCATTTATTGTGTTTATCACAGCTTAAAAGGGCAATAATTAACTTTTAACATGCTGTTATTCTTCAGTGCTCACATGTACTCTACTATTTATCAACATTCTGTTATTGAAACTTTTATTCCTTCAAGCCCTTCCTTTGATTGTCTTGGTTGTTTTCTATGTTGTATCTCTTTCTGAATGCTTATTATAAATTGGTTTTATAGGGCATTGGTTCTAGGTATGCTTGAAATACTATTTTTATGCGGAAATTTGAAAAGGGCTGTGGTTGCAACTCTCACTGTTTCTAGTCGTCAATCAGGTGAAAGATCTGAAGACCGTCAGAATAATGAGGTTAAATCTTGACTCAATCGGTTATGCTTATATTCAATACTGTAGTGCTGGTATTCCTGTACTTATACTGTCACAGCTCATGAACAGATGATGACTGCATACTTGGAAGGCCTTTCAATTGAATCTGCTTCAGATTTGCAGAAAGTTTTGAGAATTAAAACATACAATTTGCGCAACATTGCTTTTCAGGATATTATGTCAGAGCTCCCTGTGTTTCAAAGTCGTATGGGGGCCTTGTTATTCTTGATCTCTGCTCTGCTTTCTCGAGGATTGGTGTGCAACTTCTACTTTTTTCTTCCATATACTTATAGAAACTTAAGTAATTGGCTCCTTAAATGTTACATTATTTCCTCCTCTTAGCTTTTTGAACTTTTCTTCTGATTTTTCAAAGCTCTATAGATGCACAATAGACAGCACAATCAGGTCTTTTAGGTTCCATCCTTTTAACTATAATATGGCCTGCAGTTTGAACTAATTTGGACTTATTTTGGGTGTTGCTATTGTTGATTAGGGAGTAAGTTCAACAGAAATGGCCAGTTGTAATATCTGAGACGCCGCAGATGGAGTACTGTCCGAAGAACCCTTTGAAACAAAAAGCCCAGCATGGATCATGAAGGAATGCAAATCACATCATAGGTCCAGAATTGGCTATATAAGCGTGAATTTTGTGAAATAAATTCAGAGAATTTACAATATTTTTAAAAGGAAAAGAATATTTTTGAAATTAGTGTTATTGAATTAAAACGGAAAAGGATTAACTTAAGATTATATGAATAGAAGTTAAACAAAATGATTTACGAATAATATTTTTAGCACTTCAGGCAACATAGAAATAAATGGAAGATAAGAGTTCATAATGCCAACCCTAAATAGTTGGGATAAGGTTCATGAAGATGAAGATTTTGACTAGGATCTATCATATGCAGTACATAGATGCAAGCTCTAAAATCACAATACTTCATAAATTCATAGAAGGAATGAATTTGACCTCGTTGTAAGGATGGCAGTATTATCTAGTTTACTCCATCGGATAAGTAGCTTTCTTAATACTTTCATAAGCCGTATATCTTGCTATTTGGAAAGAAAGCTTTTCTGAACCTCTGCAACATATTGCACCCACGTTCCGGAGTACTCTGTTTGAACTGATTATAGGAAAACTCACAATGTATTTCTTTCTTTACAATGATGTGCAATCTTGCAGAAATAACTTTTGTGGACAGATATTATTACCTAGATGTGTTGTTTTCATGAATCCCGCCTAGTTCATTGATAATATTGTGTCATATCTATAAACATTAGCAAATGAATTATTGAGAATTGAGTCCTTCATGGAAGTTTACCTCTTCTCTTTTAGTGTGATCTATGTATGAAGTCTCTCCTTCAAGAATTGAGTCCTTCGAGAATTTGACTTTTAATAGGACACAATGGAGAAAAAGGATTCATGTAGCCGACCCCACATAGTGGGATAAAGGCTAGATGTTGTTGTTGTATGTATGTATGTATGTATGTATGAAGTCTCTCCTGACTGTGCTGTTATTTCTTGATAGTCATGTATTTATAGTTTCTTAATTAAATGGAGTCTACGATCAATCAGTTCTCTACTTTAATTTTGTTTCTATGCTATTAGTAGAATATTTTGATGCTATGTTCTCCGCAGTTTTGTTGTTGTTAACATGCAATGCAAACATGAGAACTTTCTATTGCTGAAATTCGATTGACCTTGTAATTTAGGAATCCATTCAAGCTGATCGGGATGATCCTTCCCTACCTCTAGTCACAGCACCTTTTGGACATGCCTCACAGGTAGTTGTTGTTACCTCTGCATTTATCTTTTTAAGTGTATGTTTTTTGTAATCACATAAAGAACCTAAATATGGCCCACTATTCCGTGAAAGTGTTGCCTTTAACAGGTGATGTAACCTCTCTCCAATAAGCACTGATTTAATGTCCGTCAGAGCTAGACTGTGTTACCCTCAGGCAAAAATATCATCAAACTGGACATATCCATTACTCTACATAGAAACTCAATTTGACTGATCGCAATGACTTTCCCTTTCTCCAAATATGTTAAGGGTAATTTTAGTAACTTGATGAGCAGAAAAATATGCATCTTGGGTCATATCATCCAAAAGAATCCAGGTCTTTGAAATTTCCTCTACAAAGATAGATGGATCTTCTATTTGGCTACCGAACTTATGCTCAGCAGACCTAGTGTTAATTCATCCCTTTAATGGAAAGTTGCCTTTAACATGTTTAAACACAACATACACACATTGTTATAATTGAATATAATAATAACATCTATAATACAACTAGTGCTCAAATCTGAACACATCTATATTGCTATAAAGTGCCAAAATCTGATTACATATATTTCGCTATAAAGTTTTAAAATCTAACCACATTTATATCACTATAAATATCCCAAATCTGACAACATATATATATCAGTATAAAATATGTTCTCGAAGATTATTAGGATCAAAATCATTTTCATCAAGCAATACTACAACAACAACAATAACAAGCCTTACAATGTGAGGTCAGCTATATGGATTTTTTCTCTATTGTATCATATTAAGTGTCAAATAAAAAAGGTCATTTTAATACTTTCTAATCAAGTCTTTTTAGGTCTACCTCTACCTTTCTTAATATAGGTCGGATCTAATACATCTACTCTCAATTGGAAGATTGATGTTTTATGCAACAAAACCATCTAATGTAACTTTCTCTAATCTTATTTGCCACTGGAGTCACTCTAACCATTTCATGTATATACTCATACGTTATTTTATGCTTCTTTTTTAATGGCCAAGAATCTGCAACATTCTTTTTTAATGGTAATTTTATGAGGCTTCATGGGATAATCTAACTTAAACAAGTTTGCAACCAAATAGGAGTTCCTGGTTACTCTTCTGCTTTCACCTTTTGTTGGGATCTGCAATTTAATCTCTACATGTCTAAACTTCAATTTTGAATTTCTGCAACTAAAAGAGATTCAAGAAACTTACACTTATGGCTTAAATTTTGCCTTGCACTCTTCAAGCTCAATGCATTCATCCAGTTGTCTTATTAGATATCTTTTTTATATGCTAATCTACTATTTGTTCTTAGGAAATCGTGAATCTGCTGCTTTGTGGGCTGGCTGTTCCAAATGTCTTTGATGGTAGGATGGATCTTGGTGGTGGCATGTTCCTTAAAGGCATATCCACAAGCGTGGAGGTTGGATTCCTCACTCTACTCGAATCGCTCAACTTTTGCAAGGTCGGACGGCACCTTAAATGCCCAAGATGGCCTATATGGGTGGTAGGAAGCGAGTCGCACTACACCGTCCTTTTCGCTTTAGAACCATCGGTGCAAGAAGAAAACGAGCTCGAACAGCTCGAATCCCGAATTAGGCGAGCATTCGATGCTCAAGACCAGAGTGGTGGTGGGGGCTTCATTAGCGTTGAAGGATTTCAACAAGTCCTAAGAGAATGCAATATCAATTTCACACCTGTGAAACTTGAAAACCTTTGCTCCTCGGGTTTCATAGTTTGGAGTGAATTTTTGCAGGAATTGCTTGAGCTTGATAAAAGCCTGGGAGGCTTAAAAGATTCAAGTGGATCCATGGGGAAGAAATTGTTTGATCTGTATCATTTTAATGGAATTGCAAAGTCTGTGTTAAATGGCAACGTTGGCATGGGAGGTGAGAGCCCTCTGCAGAGGCCAAGGCTCTGTAAATTAAGTGTTTCAGTACCGCCAAGATGGACCCAGGAAGAGTTTCTTTCTGATAACAGAACAAGTGAAGTGAACCAGGCGGCCGCGGCCGAGCCTTCTCAACATGCTCCATTGGTGGACTGCATCAGGACCCGCTGGCCAAGAGCTGTTTGCAGCTGGATTGGCGATGCTCCCAGTATAGTCTGATGAGATGCCTCAAATCTGTTCAAATATGTTCTTGTTGCATTATTTTTCCTCTACTTTTAATAAAATTTAATACGAGTACTGTGGTGGAAGAATATTTTCACTTGTTCAATGTGTTGTTACAGGAACAAATTGTAACATCTATATTTGTTTTTCATTTTTTTTAAAAACTCTGTGATCTTTGTAATGTGTTTAATTATTTAGATTATTTTTTTTCCTTCAATGTTTTTATTTTTATTTTGATGATAATATTTTGTTTCAAGCAAGCAATCAACTTGTAATTTTTACCTTTAGCACTTCATGTAAATTGAATTTTGGGCTCTCCTTTTTTTTTTAGGTTGGGAAGTTAAAAGCCTCTCTTCCTTCACAGGCCTTGCTCAGTTTGTGAAATTTAGCAGTTAGCACATATAAGATCATTGCTTATTTGATTAGAGGTGCCATTTTAGCTAAATCATTCTGTAAATTTTTTAAATAGCCTATGTACTAGATTTCTCTAATATGGAGATATTAATTCTAAGAAGTTGCATATTGTGTCGTGCAAAATTATATATAAGTTTTTACGTATCGACAAGCTGATCAACTATTCTATGCGAACAACGGATGCCATTCGGAGGTCAATCAGAATACGTCACGTCATTTTTTTTGTTCGGTACCAGTGCTGGGTATCAAGTAATGTGGTAAATTTTGATTGGCCTTTGGACTGTCCAGTATCCGCATAGAATAATTTCTTGGACACGCTACATTTCTGACATTTTTGCCTTATAGCTCCTCATTAGTATAGAGATTTTTTATTACAAATTTATCCTGACCAGATGATGGAGACAAAATTATTACTTATGGAATCCTAGCTCTCCCAAAATATCCGCTTCAGAAAATCTTGAAAACTATGGCTCTACCAATCAAACAAAATATTTTTTGTGATCTATGTTGCGGTGGCAAGACTCTTTATGAACTCTGGGATATTAAATTACTATGAACTTCTAGGAGCAATAATAATCTAGAAAAGAAAGCGAGAGCATTGACGAGTCAGGACCACTTCCTTAGCGGAATAAGAAGAGGTCATCACTAGCAACTTGTCTGAAAACGAAAAGCCAGGAAGTACTGACTTTCATATAGGTGCTGCATGGCTGTCGTCAACTCGTGCCGTGAGATGTTTGGTCAAGTCCTATAATAAGCGAAACCCGAGATAGCCCATATAAAGAAAGTACCGGTACACCGCATCCATCCCTTAGGGCGAAGACCTTTTTCTTTCACCTTTCTCGTTGCTCACTACAATCGTAGAAAGACTTGCCTAAGCCGATAGCAGCGCATGCTACCTTTCTAGTCCTTTTGATAGTCATTTGTCAATGATGCTACTTTATAAGGAATTCTCGATAGAACTACATTGAGTTCCGCATAAAGTTTTCATTGCATGATTTTGAAGTGATGCACATAATACAAAACATCAAGTTTTGCTTCACACCCAAGTTTATCTTTGGTTGGTAAATAGTTATTCAAAATTGATAGTGTATTATTTACTATAACACCTATCATTAATTTGATGTTAGATGCCTCACACTTCAAATTGGTGGTAGACCTAATTTTATGTCTACTTTGAAGTACTAGCTAACTTATTGTTGTTGGTCAATCAAATCCTCAGTCATATGTAATATATACTTATTATTTATGGTGATCTTAATTAGTGTTGTATAGATAGAAGGCTGGTAGTCAGATCATTAAGAATTCAGCTTTCTTGAGATAAATTTTTGAGATGATGGCGAAGTTGTATGAAAGTTGGTGAGGCTATCAGTTGCCAAGAAGGTACTAAAAAGTCTGCCTCCTTGGCGTGAATTTCCAAGATGGCAGTGAAGTTGCATTGATGATGTATTTAAAATAAAGGGAAGAGATACAAAGAGTCATATACATACTTATTTAAGACAATTTTCTCCTTGAGGTAATTTATCATGACAACAAAAAAGTTATTGAAATAATGGTGGGATCATCAAGATGATAAGATGGGGTGTTGTTGTCGACATATTACGAAGCAATGCATTGGGTTATGTGCTCAAACATGAATGTGTGTAAAAACATTTTTTGAAGGCATGTGAAGATGTACATGTAAAGTATGAGGGAAAGTATGCATTGATCATGCAAATAGGAACATGTTGATTCTTGGGTAGGATTGTGTGGGGAGCATGGAAACTTACTTTAACTTTGAATTCCATGCATCTATAGTCATTAGCAAGGATATACGATGATAGAGAGCTAGCAATAAAAATTTATTAGATAAGAATTTTAGGATTTAAATCCCCAGATATTAAAGAAATTTGAATCTCATAAGGGCGGCTTAGAATGAATTGAGTTGAGTATGCATGAGTTAGAAAATGAGATAAACTTCAATGGACTAAGAGTTTACTATGAAATCCTTTAAATATTTTACAAAGGTGTTATGCTTACATGACTTTATGAATATAAATAATAACACAATTTTCTCCAAAAAACATAAAATTATTCTCGATGAGCACCAAAAGTCAACAAATTTTGATTTTATAATAATTTATGTAGAGTCAACTTTATGATGATACTTAAACACTAAATAAATTCATGATTTGTCTACCCAATGAAACAAATCTCCCTCCATCTATCAAACTATTCCAAAATCAGATCACCATGACATGTTGTGAAAAATGATTTTTCTTTGAATTTAAGCAAATATTTCATGCCCTGTAAAACTTATTTTGAGTTGAAAGATAAGATCATACTCAACACAAAAATTTTAGTCCACTTGGATACTTAGAAGCACACAAACTTCATATAATAATATGTTGGATCTATAAAAGTATGAAAGGAATTAAAATAAGATGTACAAAAGGAGATCTTTTAGGAAAATATTATGAAACAAAAATATCAAGTGACATATCTAAATATTTCTATTACATTAAAAGGTATAATATTTATTTAACAAAAAAAAAAACAAGTGTATTGGACATTAACATAACATCCATCCTTTCATCTTCACTATATAGTATCTTTATGGGGTTTGACCTTTAGGGTAAGCCCTAATTTCACCTCGCATTAGACATAGTTCCTTCAAGAATATTCAAGTGAATTCTTTCTCAAGATATCACATCTATAAATCTTTCATTTCAACCTCAAATATACTATCAAAAGCCTTATGAATATGGTATAATCTCACAATGATACTTAAGCAACCTCAAGAAATCCTCCACTACCCTAGATAATTCTATGACTTTCCTCTCCCATAATGACTTGTTCTTTTAAGGTCCACAACCATCTCCCTTTGAATAATCAACCTCTTACCACAATGAAGAGGAGGAAATATCCTGAATGGCAACTTAGTGTAACACAAGATCATTGAGAAAATGTATATTTATATTATTCATTGCTATTGTATCACTAGTGATAGCGAATACAACCACATCGCGAGATCTAAATTAGAATAATTATATATTTTATCCTTTATTCTATCAACCAGAGCTGTTTTGATAATCAATATTATCAATATATCCAATGGAAGCAAATCTATATATCATATACATCAAAATATAAATTTATATTCATTCCTCAAAATTGTATTTATAATAGTCAAGATATCATTACAATCAATGATTTATCTCAAGATCTAGCTACAAAAAGAATAAACAAAATACAAAGCTAACAAAAGGAGAAAATTAAAGATCTTAATCAACCTCACTCCATAAAGTTCTAAACCTTTTCCTAACCTAAAATAAAAAAAAATCAATGAGCTTACAAAGCCCAACAAAAATCAAAACTCACTAAAACTTTCAATGCAAGATTCAATAATCAATATGCATTCTCATCTCAATCAATAGAATCAATAATTTTAATATCATCTATGATTAATTATAAATAATACAAATCAATATGACCAGTGCGAAAAACAAAAATCATTATGTTGAAGCCCATAAATCAATAACAGGTCCAAGAACGTAAATGCATCAATAATCAATAAATTAGTACTATAAGTAAAAACACATCTGTACTGTAATAATTCAATTTTATCATTTTATTAGTGAGGTGAATCAGGAACATATATGAGTCATATCAATATGCTATATGTTAGTAGTGCTGACATATGCCTGGTATAATAGTCTATAATCTATAAAAACATGAAATTATATATCTGTGAAGATATATAAGATATGAATAAGAAATTCATGACTCAATTATATGTTATTAACATTATAAAGTTCATAAGACAGGTTATCCAACTTTAATGTGAAATTTCAAAATCTTTAATCACAACCTTTTCCCAGTTAATCATTAATCATATCTATAACACTTATCATTTATTCAATAAATCAATTATATTTTCATTTTACTCAGTAAAATCCAATAATATTACAGTCAAAATATCCATATCAACCATATCTATCATACTCAAAAAGTTCTATTGTAAAAGTGTGATAAATCATGAGAAAATATATTTTTATCCTTGTTGAGGTAAATTAAATCAATATATACAAAATTATTGAAAATAAAAGTAAGTTTTAGGTTACTTACTATGATAAGAAGACTTTTGCCAATAGAAGCAACCCAAAAAATGATAAAAACCTAGCTTTCTCTCTCTTCCCTCTTTTCACTTCCTCGATCTTTCTTTCCCTCTCTTCTTCCACATCAAGCCACGTGAATGGGAAAGGGAGGAATGGCTTAGTGCTTTAGGTTTAGTATTTAACATATATAATATTGTTTGTGGCCTAGTGTAGCGTCTCTCAAACATGCAAAATCGCATGTCGGTTCATAGCACATTCGTGTTCAAAATCCTGGCACCATCGTGTTTAAAATCTCAGAGCCGTCGTGTTGAATTTTTTTCAAATTTTCCTAAGACTAAAGTGCCAGAGCGTCGAAATACTAGCGCCACAGTGCTCCATTTTAGAAATTTCAAAATTTTAATATTTTTTCATTTTTAAATAATTTTCATAATTAAGATTATTACAAATACAATGATGTTGATCATCACCATAAATTCTTTCCTTCGACTATATTTTTTGTAAGATGCACAACCAATTATGGTTACATTTAGAATAAGAAAGTGATCTCAAAAGAAAAAAAAAATGTATAAGATAACTTCCTAACTCACTTGATGGATATTCTTTCCTATGTCCCCACTTTGCCAAAGTTTTTATTAGGGAGATCACATTGTTTTCTATGTTGTACATGAATTAAGTGACAAGAATTAGAAAATGATAACCATAGAACACTGAAGGAGTCGAATGATTACCAAGTTCCTTTATGACAATAACATACATGTCAAAAACTTAATTGTTTTTACTGGCTAATTGTCAACATTATCATTCATTCTACCATCAACTACCAATATATGAGATTGTCCCTAGTCTCTATCTACAGCTTAAATCTTTTTATTGCAATCCAATTTTCTTTGATCACAAAAAAGATGGATTATTGTAACGACCGACTTATATTAGGGAAGTCTTTTCAGTTGGGCTTAAGCCACTAATGTTTTTATTTTACTTATCTAGTTATGTGTTGTACTTTCATACAAACATAAATTATTAATATTCCTTTTTTTAATCACAAATAATTTAGCACATACCAAACATGTCAATCGACTTAGGCTGATTTAGTCCCCAAAACTTTTTTTCATTTATATTTTGGTGTTTTAATTTGAAATTAAGCTTAAATAGGCCCGCAAAAGTTGGCTCAGTCCTTTTGGGCTTGAAAGTTCTTCGTTAGTGTTAGGGTATCAATAAATGACTCAACTCATGCTTGGCTTGAAAATTAGCTTTAGAAAATAATAACTTCCATTTTACCGAGTGAAATTCAATAATATTACCGTCAAAATATCCACATCAATCATATCTATCATACTCAAAAAATTATATTGTAAAATTGTGATAAATCAGGAGAAAATATATTTTTATCATTGTTGTGGTAAATTAAATCAATACAAGATTATTGAAAACAAAAGTAAGTTTTTGGTTACTTACTATGATAAGAAGACTTTTGCCAATTTAAGCAACCCAAAAAAATGATCAAAACCTAGCTTTCTCTCTCTTCCCTCTTTTCTCTTCCTCTTTTTTTCCCTCTCTTCTTCCACATGAAGCCACGCGAATGGGAAAGGGAGGAATGGCTTAGTGCTTTTAGGTTTAGGATTTATTATATATAATACTGTTTGTGGCCTAGCGTATCGTCTCTCAAACATGCAATATCGCATGTCGGTTCATGACACCTCTGTTTTCAAAATCCTGGCACCGTCGTGTTTGAAATCTTTGTACCGCCGTGTTGAGTTTTTTTTTTCAAATTTTCTTAAGACTAAAACGTCAGAGAGCCGAAATACCTAGCATGCTCCATTTTAGAAATTTCAAAGTTTTCATATTTTTTATTTTAAAATAATTTTCATATTTATCATATTATTATAAATACATTGATGTTGCACCATAAATTCCTTCCTTCGACTACATTTTTGTAAGATGCACAACCAATTATGGTTACATTTAGAATAAGAAAGTGGTCTCAAAAAAGAAAAAAAAAAGTATAAGATAACTTCCTAACTCACTTGAAGGATATTCTTTCCTTTGTCCCCACTTTGTCAAAGTTTTTATTGGGGGGATCACATTGTTTTTTAATGATGGACATGAATTAAGTAACAAGAATTAGAAAAGAATAACCATTGAAGGCTAGAGGAATCGAAAGATTACCAAGTTGCCTTTATGCAATAACATACAAGTCAAAAACTTAATTATTTTTATTGGCTAATTGTCAACACCATCATTCATTCTACCATCAACTACCAATATATGAGATAGTCCCTAGTCCCTATCTACAACTTAAATCTTTTTATTGCAATCCAATCTTCTTTGATCGCAAAAAGGATGGATTATTGTAACGATCGACTTATATTAGGGAAGTCTTTTCAATTGGGCTTAACCCACTAATGTTTTTATTTTACTTATCTGAGAATGTGTAGTATTTTTCATACAAACATAAATTATTAATATTTCTTTTTTTTTTAATCACAAATAATTTAGCATATGCCAAACATGTCAATTGAATAGGCTGATTCAGTCCCCCAAACTTTTTTTTTTTCATTTATATTTGGGTGTTTCAATTTAAAATTAAGCTTAAATAAGCCCCCAAAAGTTTGCTCAGTCTTTTTGGGCTTGAAAGTTCCGTATTGATGTTAGGGTATCAATAAATGGCTCAACTCGTGGTTGGCATGAGAAATTCGAGTTCGTGTTGACCCACTTAATAAATGGGTTGGATGTGTCTAGAATTTTAACCAATTTATTGAACATGCTGAATTTAGGTTAACCCGCAAACTCGCTTGTGACCTAAAAGTAATCTGTTTAATATTTTTTTATTTAAGTTTTTTTGCTTGTCAATATAATCTTATTGTTTATCAATTAACCTAAATTTTATAGTTCATAAATTTTAAATGTTTTCAATAAAAAAAATTTTCAGATTGAATTTGAGTCATTCAAACTGCTTGCGGGTCCACATTAATGTTTCGATTGGGACGACCTTTTTACTAATTTTTGAAAAAAAAATTAGTATAAAAATTAAAATTTTTTATACTAAAAAAATATTTAAAAAAAGTAATAAAAATGCAGTCGCAAATGAAACCTAAGTCTATCTTTAATAAATAAAAGTTGGGATTGACTGAATTAATGAGTTTCGGGTCATACCATTTGTGCGCATTTACCTGCTTGGAGTTTCCCTACAGCGGTCCTTCCTTTTGCAAAAACCCTAGACGGCTTCCAGACAACGCTAGCAAGCTAGTAAGGAGGAAGGTAAATATTCTCTGACGATCTTATACGATCTTATGCTCTAAACAGAACCGGTTTCACGATCTATTCTCATTTGTCTCTAGTTTCTGTTTCGCGAACTTTTCGATCTTACTTCTCATCGCATCGGATCTATTGAAGGGAGAAAGATTCAAGTCTGTTCGGATTGATCCCAATGTGAGTAACTTTTCCAGTACTGTCTGATCCTTGAATTAAGTGGTTTGGAACTTTTATTGCTTTTCGCTGCAGTTGTTGGCGTTTGGATATTGTTTGTTTTAATGCAGCGCAAATTAGAAAAATCGACTTATAACATCTGTTAAGGGATAAGTAATGTAATGGGTTAGGATTCTATAAATAAGCTCCCTCTTAAAGAGTTTAGGGCATTAACCAAGCAAAAATAATGTGAAGTGATGGAGCCTTTGACTCAAACCTTCTTCCCCTTTGAAGTACTTGCATTTGTGGGCATCCTACGATTTCCCAAAGCCTCTCTCCTCTCTATATGGATCTTTAGATAAGATATAACTGATTAGTTATTAATATATCTCTATTTTCTATGCATTTTTCTGTTGTGTTTATATCAGTATTAAATGGTATTCTCGTTGAGATTTTGGGTACGTCAAATGATATCTTGACGAAATATATTACGGGAGGTTGTGAGTTGCGGGATTTGGATCAGACAGAGGATCCCAATCGGAAGCTCAATGACGTTAACACAAAGTTGGATTGAAGTGGATCTGGCAACGGTGCTTGAACTGTGGAAAGGGTCAATGAGAGCTCCATTTGATATGGATCTCAGCACAAAATTTTGAGAAAAACACAGAAAAGATAGAACTATATTGATAACTAGGAAATTAGAGCTTGCTGCAAGCTCTAGGTGCAAGGGGGAGAAAGGCTTTAGGTAGTTATAGGATGCTCACAACTCATCAGTATTTCGGTTTTGGTTGGGGGGTTCAAAGAAGGAAAGTTTATTTATAGGATTATTAAAAGCCTAATGGCTCAATAAGACACCTAATAACTATATAATCCCCTTTATATTAATTCTTCCCGAACATTCCCCACTCCATCACAGATACCTTGCCCTCCAGGTTGAGAAAATCACGATGAGATCAGGGAGGAGGTGGTTGTTGTTGGTGCTAAGAGCTTAGTCTTGGCTAGGATGGTTAGTGTAGACTGTAGAGTGCGAATAGATCAAGGTGGAAGTGGCGTTTGCTAGTAGCGGAGTTTGTTGGCTACGAGATTTGATGTGATTTGAAGGTGGAAGGCATGGTGAGATTTGACATAGAGTCATACGTGAATTGGAATGGCAGATTGGGGGGAAGTCTGTATTTGAAATTATTGTGGCTGGTTCTGATGGGGATAGAGCACTGCGGGCAGTGGGAGACTTGGGTGATGCACTATGTTGCTTAAGATATGGGGACTATAGGTAGGTGTCAAGGCGATAGCTATTGAGGATGCAAGTACATTGATATGTGTGCTGGGGTGGGCAGATCCTGGGCAATTAGCAATGATGTGGTGGGAAATGGGGGTGAAATCATGATGGAGGTGAGGCACTGAGAGTATTGTTTGCTATAGGTCTAAACATAAAATATAGAAATGTATTGATAACTAGGCAATTATAGCTTGCCAGAAGCTCCAAGTAGAGAGTTGAGAAAGCTTTGAGCAATCGTAGGATGCTCACAACTTTAGGTATTTTGGAGGTGGGGAAAGGGTCTGAGCCAAATGCTTCATTACTTCTTGCTTGGTTGATGCCTTAACTCCAAGACGGAGCTTTTTTATATATGCTTAGGAAATATAATGGTCTAATAAGATACCTAATTACTATCTAAACCCACCAAATACCCATAACATTATTTATTCCTAGCACTTTCATTTGGCTGCTACGTAGTTAGATTATAAATTTATCAAAACAACCAATGATATCTACTAGTCTTTCATGTTTTGAACAATGAGGATAATTTTTTTGATTTTGTAGTTACTTTAGCACCGATTGCTTTCATTTTTTAACTATATTTTCTTGAAAAAATGTATATAATTAAATCTTCTTGTGCATAAAGTTGCTACCCATGCAGTGCTATTGATGAGCTGGAAGAAGGCTACCCTTATGAACTAGTTATTTGAAGATAATAAGATTGTCAATTTTTGTGGTTATTGTAGCCATTTCATGTAGTTTATTTATTTATTTAAATATTGTTGTGGTCTACTCATGCCATATTTTATTCCATAGAACGTTCAAATGGTAGTTTAGATTAGGTTTTTTCAATGTATTTCAATTACTTTGAATTATTAGCATACAAAACAAAATTGTTAGCTAATTATCTTTTAAACATCCTTATGCTAGTACATTAGAATGTGAAGCTGGGAACAATTTGGCATATGGTTATTGAAGTTTACTCCTATTTGACTTGCAATGCTTTATGACACAGAATGTGGGCCATTAAAAGCGAATCATAAAATTAAGTGTTGCACAGATGAGGATGCTAAGATGTATGAGTGACTTTACACTTAGAGACAGAATGCGAAACAAATATATACGTGAAAAGGTTGGAATAGTTCTAGTGGCATATATGATTAGAGAGAGTCAGCTTATATGCTTTGGTCACTTAAAATATTGGCCTTTCGATGACCTTGTTTGGAGAGTAGATGTATTAGATCCAGCCTATGCTAAGAAAGGTGGAGGTAGACCTAAAAGATTTGGTTAGAAAGTATTAGAAATGATTTTTTTAATCAGATTTAAATGAGACTTTGACTCTTAATATGACACAATGGAGAAAAATGATTCATGTAGTGGGATAATTATTGTTGTTGTTGTTCTTGTTGGGATTAACATTTGGTCACACTACTCCCTGACCTTCTCAATTTTTGTTGCATAGTTGCTTTTGGCTAAGCATGCTGGTGAGCTTTTTTACCTGGCTTATGATTGAATTGAGAGCACAACCTGGCTTCTCCTTGGATACACAGTTGTGACAATTGCATTGGGCTTGCATTGCCATATGTTTTGAAGTAAATCTGTTGTGCAGCTTTGAAGCTGTTTGTTTTCCTTAAAGTCCTTCTGATGTGAAACTTCTTTATGTGGGGTGTGTTTGTACCTTTCGTTATCTCATATGCTCATTCCTTTGATGTTTTCTAGCTATTTCTCATGCCTACCTCCTTGAAATGAGCCAGTTATAGTTGAATGCAAAGTCATCAACCCGATTTTAAAATTTAGAATGCAAAAAAGTCTTAGGAAATGAGAACATTTGCTTTTGCAATGAGGTATATCACTAGAATTATCATAGTTATTTCAGGATGATAGCTACAATTATAAGGCATTCTATTTCTATTTTCTACATAGTTTTGAAGATTAATTTTGAATAATGCGAGTGATCTAACACTAGCTAGTGCTGAAATTTGTTTATTTTTTGTTCGTATTATTATTTGCATGGTTTTATTTACATGTTGCCGCATTCACCCTACTAGCAACCATTTGTCACCTTCATATTATACCTTGCATTAATGTAAATCTTGTTTGAAATATTTCAAATGTATTTTTCCTCAATGTTCTATTTTTTCAATCGAATAGTTATAATAATTTTTATTGTTCTGTAAATGTGGATAATAAAACTTGATTTGTTCCTAACTATTTTGTGAATGACCCATACAACATTTTTTACTTTCATCATCTTGATTGTTATTTCAGGGCTGATGAGGAACTTGTAGACCCAAAGAAATATCTTGAGGAACGTTGCAAACCAAAATGTGTGAAACGTTTGTTTGATTACCAGGTATTTTGTGATTTTCTTTCAATACTTTGTAACTTTATTTACATAGCAATGTTTATCATTTATTATAGTTTATGACATATAGGAATTTTCTGATATTCTCATTTGTTGTTATTGTGCCCTCTAGTATCCGCTAAAGATTTTAGTTCCTTTTTGTATTAATGCTGTCAAAGTAGAAATAAGGCCATATTTGTCTTTCTCGCGTTTGTTTTAGTTTTTTTCTTTTTGACTTGAATTTGCTTGTTTTTTCCCCTAAATTTGGAACCATAATGTTTGAGCTTTAATGAAGAGGAGATATTGACCATACTTTGATGTTTCATTGTGCTTTGTATTTATCCAGGATGTTAGGTTGGAATGGAGAGTTGATCTCAAGGGGTAAATTTGCCTAAATTTATGGTCACAAGTGGTTGGCCTTTTTTTTAATCTTGTCTATCTATATAATTAGATCTCTGTAAAGAATTTCAGCTGTAAAGAATTTCAGAATTTGTTTGATATGAGGACTGCTGATGATCAAGGAGATTTTGGAAGTTTAGCTGTTGTATTGTTTTCATAGGTGTTAAGTTTCATCGTGTTATGTTGCTGCAAGTTCAGTAGTCCTATTGTCTAGAAGTGTTCTGGGTGTGATATGGGATCAATACTTACATTTCTTCAATTAATATGGGGTCATCTTAATTAATTATCATTGACGAGGAATTACCTTACTCTCTAAGACCGAGCTATAAGGCTCCTTTTCATGTGACCTTTTGTATGCTTGTGTTGATCTCTTCCCATGGCTTTCATCGGTGGTGGCCTCTTTTGCCTGGTAGTTTTTGCAACTCTTCCATTGCCACTTATGTGGCTTCTTCTACTATTGAGATCTTTCTCACTGATTGGTTTCTGTGGTTTTTTAATCTCCTTTGGCAAATCTTTTTGTTATCAGTACAATCAACGTAAGCTCTGGTAAATTTCTTTCCTCTGCCATATGTTGCCTCTAGTGTGACATTTGCCATCATCGGGCTTGGCTGGAGTTCGGATGATGTTATCAGAATTTCTTTTGTTTTATGACAGTCGGCGTGGGTGATTCTTTTGGAGTGTTGTAATCAGTGGATAAGGAATTCCATTAGGATTTCTAGTTATAAATAGGTGTCTTAGATATGTATGGAAGTGATCAAGTGTTCATGCATAAAATTCTTGTTGGATGTGTTTTTCGTTCTACTCTTGTAAATCACTGTTATCTAATTCAAAGAAAATTATTAAAAAATCAACTCCATTATTAAGTGAGAGATTTCTAAATTTTTGGAACATGTTTATTGCTTTGTACAATTACAACTATTCCTTTCCTGTTCTAAATTTATTATTCATTTAGAGTCTTTTGAGCTTTAATTAAATTATAAGCAATTTGATTTTCAATAAGTACGTGGATTTCAAATTGTTTGTGTGGCTTTCTTGATTTTAATTTTCTTGCTTTTATTTCTAGGAGATTGGAAATTTTTCCTGAATTGATAATCTTCTTATTTTTTGTTTATTAAAAATAATGAATAATTGTTAAAAGATTATATGTGTGAATTGCAAATTTTATGTACCCGTTGCATGATTTTTGAGTTATCATGTTAGATCTAAGCTACATTCGTTATCAAAGTTTAAATTTGCAATATAATGTGATAGAATATCTAATCTTGGGCAATTAACAATACAGTAAAAGATGAAATTAAAAAATCAATTTAGATATGATTTAAGACAATTTAAATATTAAAAAAAAAGATAATTTCAATATTATTATTATCAATGTTTTAAAAGGCGAAATCGAGAATCGAGGCGTTTTGTCTAAGCAAGGTGAGCCGTAAGCCTCGAGGTAGATCGAGGCTTAAGTCTCAAAACAGTAAAAATAAGCTAATGTAAAATTATTAATAATGATAAAAAAATGACAAAATATTAAGTCAATTATGAACATGATGATTGGTTCTAAGAAAAGGAAGCAAGCAATTATTTTCATGAGGGTTTATGTATAAAATTATACTGAATATTTGTTTGATTGAAAGAATATTGTTGATGTTTATATCTGAAAAGAAAAATCTTTTCATAATATGTAATTTACTGGAATAAATTCTCATGAATAACACAGAGCATTATTTGATAAACTTTAGTGGGATTTAGTAAATCCTGTAAATCCGGATTTGATAAATCCTGAAAATCCGGATTTTAATTTATATTAATTAGGCTAATTATATTAATATTTAATTAATAATTATATTACTAACTAATCAATTAAATTAAATTAGATAATTAATTTATGCACTAATTATACTATTATTAATTTAATTAAATTGCTTAATTATTAATATTTTAAATTATATTAATTATGTTAATCAATAATAACTTAGTTGCATCTAGGTTTTTCCTTTCAGTCCTTGTTGTTCAGCTTCGTTGCTTCATAGGAGGTGAAGATATTGCACTCGTCGCTTCTTTGGCTCCTTCGTGGTTGCTTGACTTAGCTCCTTCGACGACTTCCCCTTCATGTGGGATCGTAAGTTACGACATTTTGATCGGAAGAAACAACGGGAGCTCGCTGGCTGTGAAGGTAACTTTCTCCCATTCGAGGCGCTTCCTCGATGCTCCTCGGCGCTGCCTCGATGCTCCTCGGCGCCTCACGCCTTGAGGCGTACGCCTCCGTGGAAAAAGGCGGAAGACTTGCCCAAACATTCGAGGCTTAAGCCTCAATTTGCCCGACCTCCGCCTCGATTCGAGGCGCGCCTCGAGTCGTCCACCTTGAACGCCTTTTGAATCCATGACTATTATAAAATTAAGTCTTATACTCTTACATCCGTTGGGAAATATAATTCTAGGATTTTTTTTTAGATTGGAGAGACACCTTAAAATATAATTCTTTGAAAGTTATGATATAATTAATTCTTGTGAATTTTCTATTATAAAATAAATTAAATTTATTCAAACATTTTAGCAAATTGTTGCTGCCAATAAAAAATCTTTAAAGGCTGATATAAAATAATAACTTAAAAGTATGTTTGAATATTTTTAGATTTTAAGGACTTGTAGCCAATTATCAATTTAAGGACTAACTACATTTTTAATGTTCTCACAAATAATTAACTAAATGGAAATCACCTTATAACTAATCTTATTCACCTTAACAACTTAATCTTTAAATCTCTATTCACTGTTATCTCGGCCCCATTCCTACTTTTAACCTTCCCAACAGACAATAGTTTATAACCTTCTCCGTTGTCTTTGAATTTTTTTCTTTTTCCATTTAATTCTATTCTTTTTTCCATTCAAATTCCTCACATGCCAAGCAGCAAATATGGTCTTATTTGTAGATCCAGTTAACTCTAATTAATTTTTTCATCTCAATCGGGCTAAGTTGGGTACATCACCTTCTTGTCACCACAATGTATTCTAGTTGTAGTGTTATTAATGGATGATGTTTTAGCAAACTCTTGCCAACTTCTCACGTCAATCTGGTTAGGTCATTGGGTGTCTATTTTGGGAAGGCCCTACCTAGCACTAGCATTTATTAAATTTATTTTTTTTTCATAAATTTTGACTTGAGTTTTACACAGTCCTTTATCTTTGGATTTGCCCTCATTATTTAGTAGTTCCGAATACATATGTTACTGAACTTCAAACATTTATTTCTTAAAACACAACCTGTCACCTTCCCAGACCAACAGGTTTCATCTGATTAAGCCATTTAGATCTTTCAAAATTTTCCTTTTGATGTACAAACTGCTAGAAGTAACAACTATGGGAAGCAAGCACCTGTGATTTCCAATATGTAGCGCTAATGCCAACATTTCTGCATAAAGACTCATAATTTTCTAAAAACAAAAAGTTTGAAAAAAAATTATCTTTTGTCACCTTTATTATTATTATTATTTCTTTATCAACACTTTTCATTCCAACTCCTTGGAATCATTATCAACATCATTAGACTTATCCCAACTACTTGGGTTGCATTCCAACTATCTGGGATTAGCTATGTGAATCATCTTTAGCCTTTCATCCCTTTTAGGGGAAGAATTATTTGTTGCGGAGTCCGGACGTAGCTCTACGTCTGGACTCCAATCAACTATAGACACACATTTTTTATTTAAATTATTTTTTGATGCCACGTGGATATTTTTACTAACGTGCGACCCGATGGGTCGACCCGGATATTTTTACTAACACTACTTTTTAAAAAAAAAACCGTGACGGGACTCCAAAGTTTAGGATTTTCAGTGAATACCTCTTTTCCCCAAATTGTCGACAAAAATCTCAGTGAAGAACCGACGAAAGAAGAAGATGGAGCATGCTTTTGATGACGTTCAAATTTCACAGATAAGAAAGACGGTAAGTTTATAGGATAGTGCGGATTTTGCAAGGTTGGATGAACTGGAACTCAATTTGGATGGAGGAGCTGTAGATATAAAGTTATTAGTAAATTTTTAAGGATTATTATGTATTCGTAAATTTTAAAGGATTATTATGTATTCTTCTTTTTTCTATTGTTCATGGGTGATAATGTTGTTTTCGCCGATATACTTCAAGCGTAATATTGTTGATCTTCCTATTTTTTTAAAGAAATTTTAAATATCTGACATTAATTTATAAATATCTAAAGTGCATATGAAATTTTTTTTGAGATAACTCTTCTCAATGATTTATATTTTTTTCTTTCCACATTGTGTATAGGTTCACAATCTTTCACATTGTGCAGTGTTTAGAGGCTGTGTACAATTAAACACACTGGGTGCAATATCCTTCAAATTGTTTTCAAGGATGTGTACAAGATTTACACATTGTGTACAAGTTGTATACATAGTGTTACACTTTCTACAATGTGCTTACAAGCTTCTACACTGTTGTACAAAGTGACTAACTTCCTTGTACACACTTATAAGTTTACATTCTACCTTAGGAAGTTTTTCTCATAATATTTTTTCCATTCTATCTCAGGAAGTTTACAAGTGTGAGAAGGAGGCATACGAGATGTACTGCAAATATGCACATAATGCTGGCTTTAGTGTTCGCAAGGAGCATCATAGTTTTTGGCCCAATTCCAGAAAGATAAGATCTAAGGACTATGTTTGTTCAAAAGCTGGTTTCAAGAAGAGTTCAGACTTGAATTTACAAAGGAAGTATCGAAAATCAGATACCAGAACCGGATGTCCTGCAATGATTAGGTTTATTGTTGATGAAGATGGAAATTGGAAGGTGCAAAAATTTATAGAAAGCCACAATCATGATTTGGCTAGGCCAGAAGACTGTCACCTACTCAGATCATGTAGGTACATGAGTGATGAGAAAGCTTCGATTCTTAAAACATTGACAGAGGCCGGAATTAGAACAGTAGATGCTTTTTCCTACCTTGCCGATGAAGTTGGAGGTGTAGAGAATGTTGGTTTCTCTAAGAGAGATGCTTACAACTATATTCAAAAGGAAAAGAGAGCAAAAAATGAATTTGGCGACACTAATTCATTAATTCAATTATTTAAAGAACGACAAGCTGATGACCCAATGTTTGCATGGGACGTCCAATTTGATGAATTGGATAAATTGTTGAATTTTTTTTGGGTTGATGGGATGGGAAGGATAGATTTTGACTGTTTCGGAGATGTGGTAATTTTTGATACCAGTTATCGGCTTAATAAATATAATTTAGTCTGTGCACCATTTGTCGGTGTTAATAATCATTGGCAGAACATTTTACTTGGTGTGGCTTTCTTGTCAGAGGAAACGATTGAATCATTTACTTGGTTGTTTCGAACATTTGTAAGAATAATGGGTGATAAATATCCTATAACAATATTTACTAATCAAGATCAAGCCATGACTAGGGCTATAGAAGTTGCATTACCTAGCACCCGTCATAGACTATGCCAATGGCATATCTCCAAGAAGGCTCCTTCAAAAGTTTGGTGCTTTAATAGCAATGATAAAGTCAGAGGACTCTTTTATAAATGTTTGAGTAAATGTGACTCTGAGGAGCAGTTTGAGAAAACATGGGCTGAAATGATAACAGAAGGGAGCCTCCATAGCAATGGTTGGTTGGAGGAGCTTTATAAGATAAGAAAGAAGTGGTCAACGGCATTCAATAAGGACTGTTTTAGCATGGACATTCTATCTACTCAGCGAAGCGAGTTTATTAATAATGTGTGTCATGACATTTTGAAGCCAACAAGTTCAAGAACCGATTACTTTTTGGGCTTAGAGAAGGTGATGATGACATGGCGTCTGAGTGAACAGGATGAAGATTATAAATGCAACCAATCAGTGGCAGTACCTGTAATAAAGTGCAGCCCAATATTAAAGCAAGCTGCTCAATTTTACTCAAGAAAGTTGTATTTATTTTTTGAGAAAGAATTTTTAGATGGTGTTGGTGGCATGAGTATCGAGCATGCCTCTAGTGATTCGTCACAGTTTTTGATTAAGAGCGCAGAGAATTTGGATCATTCGACATCTTGGGTTGTTCATTTCGATGCAATTGACGGCAGCATTCAATGCACTTGTGGAAAGTTTGAGACAATGGGTTTACTATGTTCTCACTGCATGAGAGTTTTTAGGCAACTAGACATTGTGAATATCCCTAAGAAATACCTACTAATGCGATGGTCAGCCAGAGCTAAGAAAGATATATATGCTGCCCGCATGTTCATAGGTACAGGAAAGACTTCCGAAGCTGGCAGTGGATTATCATTCAGAAATCATATAATTAGATTTTCATATCTAATTGCCGCACAAGCACAAGGGAATGAGGATGCAGAACAGTACATGCTAAATGCAATGAAAGATATGGCTGAAAATATAGACCTGATTCTTCATGGCAAGAAATTTAACCAGAAGTTTGTAAGCAATGAAAAGGGTAAGATTTCAAAATTTAAAAGATCCACTTGCCTAAAAAAATTTCTAATGCATGACTGAAACTTGGCTTGAGCTTTATACAATCAAAGAAAAGGCCATGGAATGCTTGAAACTTTCAATTCAGATTATTCTTTGTTGCATTTGGCATTTCAGGAATGATTTTCTAGGAATATTGGATTACGGAGATGATTTACGGGGAATTAATCAATTAGCTCCAAGATGTTCATTTGAATGAACATAATTTTATTGACTATGCCTTTTCTTTTCAAAACTTAGATTTATTTTAAAGCTAGCCTTTTGTTTTCCACAACCTGATTTTTTAAAGCTATATAGGTATATTTAACAATATATATATAATCTGGGGAGGTTTTGAATATTTGGCTTTCCTTCTTTTGATGCTATTTTCATTAAATTTATTAGATTTCTCACTATTTCTCTAATAATTCAAGTTTATTCTAACCTTTGAAAAGTGTATGGACTCTCTCTCAAAAGAATTGTTTGAGAGGAAGTCAAGTAGAAAAAGCTAAAATATATGGTGTAATCTAATTTACATGTGGCATATAAGAAATTAACTTGCACAATCATTAATTGACATGTGACACTGAATAAAGATGTGTATGATTTTTATTCCATTTCATGTTTATTATTTGATTTTAAGAAATTAAGTCAATATATTAAAGAAGGTTTTACCATTAGAATACTTGCATTGCTTATTGGAATAATTTTCTTGATAGGGAAAATATAATAATATCAACTCAAAGCAAAAGATTTAATCAGGCCAAAGGAAGTTAAGTTATGGATTTTATCATGGTTTAAAATTGCGCAATATGAGGCTCGCCTTGAGGCCCGCCTTGAGGCCCGCCTTTGCGCAATTCCAATAAAAAACGCCTCGATGCTTACGCCTTTATGAGGCTTGCGCCTCAACTTGGTTGAGGCCCGCCTCGCCTCACTTTTGAGGCTTACGCCTCAAAACGCCTTGAGGCTTACGCCTCGCCTCACAAATGAAAAACGCCTCAATACCCGAATACGCAATTTTAAACATTGGATTTTATAATTATGTTACGAAGTTCAAAATTTCATAATAATTTGATAAAGATTCTAATTCTACAATGAATGAAAAGTTAGTGTTATAATTAAAACAATGTTATATTTTTAAAATTTATTTATATATTTTAATTTTATTTATCTAAAAGTATTGTACTATAATAATTTTTATTTTTTGATCTATTTGAAATATAAACATATTTTAAAAATGAGTGAATAGAAATATTTTTTTATTATTGTTTTATTTATCTTACAGAAGTTAAGTTAACTATTAACATCTACTTATTATGTGCCCTTCTTTTCTTTCTTAATTTCATTGAAGAGTTTTAGTGCAGATACACCATTTAATTTCATTATTATACCATGGTTTTTCTAAATTGTTCATCATTTCACATAACTAAGTTTAATATAATCCCAAAGGGCCTTTTAGAAATTACTAAGAAATATGTTATTGTTTGAACTGATGGATGAAGTAATAGAAAGTGCTTCCAAACATGCCTGAAAAATAATTTTGCAGGCTCAAGCCTCCTCTCTTACGACGGCCTTACCACATGAACCAGGCACACCATCTTATTAAAATGTTGCACTACGATGAATAGGTAATTAAACCTCTGTCGTTTCTCTAGTAATTCTCTCATGAAGTCCATCAAAATGGACTCCCATATGGGTAAAAGTGTCGAATTGAGATCGAGTTTCCCTTGAGTTAGCTTGAGCTTGATTAATTAATTGAGTTTAAGCTCGAGCTTAATATTATGAGTTCTAGTCTGCTCATGAGTCGACTCATTTATCATAAAAGAGAGAAATCATTCTTTTTCAAACAAGTTATTATAATAACGTGATAAAAAAATAAAAATTTAAGTGAGAAATAATAGGAGATCACTTGAAATAAGGAAGATAATTATAAATTTTATTTTTTTGGCAATTTTATGCTAAGCTAATTGAATTTTTATATATTTAAAGTGTTTTTAACATTAATATTTTTGGGTTGGCTAACTCAGGGCTAGCTCAAGCTTCACTTTTTAGCTCATCGAGCTTAGCTCACAAGCCATGAGTTGAGTTTGTACTAGTTCACAAATTGACTTGAATTAGTTACACCCCTCACTCCCATGACCCACTGGGTATTAACATGGCCATGTACAATTCCATATTCTAGTTTGAAGGCTTTGATGTGATATGGAGTAGATCTCTTGATAAAATTTTGTGCATTCAAGTGAATCTTTGGCTTTTAGATTTATAGCGTTAGATTTTGATAGACTTCTTTTCATCGAAGTGTCATCCTATTTTGGTAGACTTCTCATACACAAGCCAAATGATTGGCATCTGTGAGCACTTGCAACTGATCTCCTATTGTAGTAGATCTCCCCTGCAACAACATGGTTTCTATCCAATGTTATTATCATTTTATAAATATGATAATTCAATACATTCATTTAGTTTTCTAAACTTAATTTGGCCTCTTGATGCCTTACCGTTTTGTGCAAGGCCTTTATTTTGTTGTTCATCCCCTTTATATGGGCATCCAACATCTATTGGGAGTTTTGATCTAATACATGCAACATACTGTACTCTTTATGGTGCAATAATAGCATCCATGTAATTACAATAAGGTTATGGATAAACTGGTAATTGGACGTGATAATATATTGACCATCTTATTTTGTGCTCCCTTTTTTTTGATTGATCACTGTATTGAACTTCTATGAGAGGACATCTACTTCATGTGCTTGGCTAAGTTTGTAGGTATTGTTATGATTGATGTTCTATGCGAAGAATAATTTCCTTTCTGTGTAAGTAATGCCTTATATGTTTCCCCAATTGATACAAGGAAAAGAGCTCCTTGTAATCGGTGGCATTGTTTATGTAGGCACTCTTCTATGTCTTAATGGTCGAGGAGGATGACATCAATGACATGGATGCATCCATCTCCAACTCAAACAATTTTTTAGATTAAGAAAACCAAGCATCAACACTTAAATGATCTTCTTTTTCAACAACTGGTTGGTGTTCTCCTTTTCATCCTATTGGAAAGTGTGACTAACTCCTAAAAGGGTATGTAAGGGGGAAAAATAACATTGAGAAGTGGTAATAACCTAACACAATGTGACCACAAACCACATCTATTTGAGGATAATCTAAAATTATTTTTTTCAATTATTAATGGAATTCATGAATATTATGATTCATAAGAAGATGAGTATTCCATGTATTCATAAAACTAAAGGGGTTGGAGAAAAGGCTAAAGAGATTGTTAGTTTAGGATTTAAACTATGATATTTAGGTAGAAATCGTACTAGAAATGATGTAGGTGTTATTATTAATAAAAGTAATAATGATAATGTTGTAGAAATTAAAATAATTGGAGATAGAATTATAGCTTTAAATATTGTTATTGATGCTAATATATATACTCCTTAAATAGGTTTGGATATATGTTTAAAATTAAAATTTTGGAATAACTTAGAAGAATTAGTGCAAATGATGCCTCTTGAAGAAAAAGTTTTTATTGGAGGAGATTTAAATGAATATGTTAGTAAAATAGCAAAAGATTTTAAAAATATTTATAGTGGCTATGAGTTTGGAGTCACTAATGAAGGTAGTAGGACCATATTAAAATTTTTTATAGCTTATAATTTTGTAATTGCTAATACATTTTTTAAGAAAATAGTGAAGCATTTTATCACTTATAAGAATGAACATAATAAAATTCAGATTGATTATTTTTTAATAAAAAAATAGACCATTGCGTGATGTCGAAGGTATGCAGATTTAGGGCGTGGAAAAAGAAGGAAAGATGAATTGTAATCCACAGTTAGATAAATTTTGACATAAAAGAGAGTTTTAATTTTAATTCATTCATTAATAATCTAAATATAAGCCATGAAACCTGTTTATTGAAATAATGTTACAAATATGATATCAAATAATATTTGAGGTAATTATCCTATTCAAAATAAAATCTAATCCTAAATTATTCAAATTTAAACATAGTATTACCCAAATAAAATCTTCATAAATTAATTAAAATTTCTGGATATCACAATGCATCATACATCTTAGAATTCTCAGTTACGTGACTCATGGTGCTGCCATTAATGATAACATGAATTTAATACTATGACATTATTTAATACTATAACTTTATTGCATTAATACTGCAATTTTATTTACGTGTTTTTCAAACTAAAAAAATCTGTAAGTATGTCTCTTGAGTTCAAATATGCATTTGGCCCTCGCCCTTATTTTTTATATTTTATTGTAATCTTTTTGCCAAAGAATTGTATAGGTTCATTATGTTTAAACCATAATATAGCTTCAAACTTTTTAAATAGGCAAGTTGGTTCTTATCTTTTCTACCAAAGAACATGAATTGCCTGTGAGCCAACCAACCAACTCTCTACAATATTGATATTGAGATCAAGATATTTATCTAATGGGCTTTGAGATCTTGGAGGCCTGCATTTGTATTTGCCATCTTTTACATGGCACCACCATCTTACATTATCTAAACCCCAACTAATTGTCTTGCGAAATGCTAGGAATATGCTTCAGAACTGTTATTATCACTCATCACTATTCTTGTTGATAGTTGCATCACTTATGCATAGTTCTGTGCTAGAACAGCCTTTGTTGTGTTGGATGGATTCAATTAAGGAGAGTCATGGGCTTAGATATCTATGGATGGAGGATCATTGTGTGATGTCGAAGGTATGCAGATTTAGGGCATGGAAAAAGAAGGAAAGATGAATTGTAATCCACAGTTAGATAATTTTTAACATAAAAGAGAGTTTTAATTTTAATTCATTCATTAATAATCTAAATATAAGCCATGAAACCTGTTTATTGAAATAATGTTACAAATATGAGATCAAATAATATTTGAGGTAATTATCCTATTCAAAATAAAATCTAATTCTAAATTATTCAAATTTAAACATAGTATTACCCAAATAAAATCTTCATAAGTTAATTAAAAATTCTGGATGTCACAATGCATCATACATCTTAGAATTCTCAGTTACGTGACTCATGGTGCTGCCATTAATGATAACATGAATTTAATACTATGACATTATTTGCAACAATATGATTGTAATAGTTTTAGATATACAAAATCAACCTATGAAGGAGTGGGCAGCAACACGGTAAGTTGGGGAACACCTTATATCTCCTTTAGGAGTTGGAGAAAAACAACAATGATTTGAAGCTCTTCAAACTCGAGTATAACAAAATCTTTTCTTTAAACTCTTGCTTAAACTCATCCTCAGGCACCCAATCTTGCTCAAGTTCCATCACTTCAGCACATCTAGGCTCAAGCATACAGGGAGAAGGTAGAGTGATTGTTGTAGTTAGGAGAGTGTGTAAAACTGGAATTGGCGAATGAGATGTGAAATTTGCATTTTGGGTTTCTTTCTGAGCCAATAAATGTCATTCATTATACTTTTATAACTTTCATCAGGAAGGCAAGATCAAAATTGGAGTATGTGGTATAAGACCATCTCCAACCGAAAATCGCATTTTTCACTCCGAAATGCCGTGAAACTTAAAAATGCCGCGATTCATCTCCAATGGAACTCCATTATGCGAAGGTAACGATCTTTTTTTTTTCTTTCTCGCATTTCTTGGCAAGTTCGGTAGACCGAGAAAAATAGCGATCATGAACAGTTCAACGCCAATATTGGCGTCCCACTGTTCACCCGCATGAAAATAGCGGAAGTTTTACCGTTCGGCTGGAGCTCCGGGGCGACCACATTCAAGCGTTTGGAATTCCGTTGGAGATGCCCTAATGATGTGAGCAAAATGCTGATTTTTTTGTTTCATCAATTTTGTATCAGAGAGTCTAGGTTGTTGTGAGTGTCTCACTTTCTTTTAAAAAATAAGAAAATGGAAAAACAAAACAAATAGCAAGTTGAAAGTAATCAAAAAGTCATCTGCTATGCCTTGGATTCCTGAGGACAATCTTCCAACAACAAAATGGGTTCCTCGTGCATATTCTTCTAACCCTCTACAGATCGAGCTTCTCAAGATTCGAAGACAACTGTAATTATGTGCCGAGAGATACGATTCTAAGAAGCTTCAACTTTTATCCAAATTTGAACGAGAAAAAGAGATCATCAAAAGAAAGTATGACATGCTAAATCAGGAATCGGAAATGCCACATCTTCAAAGTTTTGAGCCGATCTCATTTGGAGATGAGATTCTTCCGCCACTAGAGAATTGATGTGAGGAAAATGTTGATTTTTAATTCCCAAAAGTTACTCCTTTGGTTTGCTAGCTTCCTTTGATTTGCTAGATTTCTTTGGTTATTTGGGCATTTAATGGTTGGCTGAATTTCTCTTATTGGGCTTGGCCCATTTTTCCCTTTGGCTTCTTGGTGTCTTGGTTATCTCGGTTGAAGTGGGGTTGCTTCGGTTTCCTACTTGGGGGGGGGGCTGGCTGTTGGTGTTATGGCTGCTTGGTTCTTGGGCTTGCCGTGCCTCTTTCTTGGTTTTTTCAACAGATTTATGCTGATGTTTTCCCCATGCTGTCCGTTTCCCTCCCTTGATATTTCCGTATTGATGGACTCCAAAAGGAGTGGTGATTGCTGGTTTCATGCTATAGTTTCCTGCTGGTTTTCTAGGCAGATTTATGGTTGCTGTTTGGGTCCTTATTTATAGGGAGCTATTTGCTACTGTTTAAGCAGAGGTTTTTGTGTGAAAATATTTGGAATCTAAGAACCTGCGGGTTTGGAATAGCTTGCAAGCTATTTGTCTTCTACCTCCCTCTCTCTTATAATTCGTCTCTATTTCCTATGATCCTATCTCTTTCTTCTCTCCATGGTATCCTTTTCAATTGTATACTTCTTAAAACTTTTGAAATTTGAAATTGTTCAAGTTATAGTAAAAGAAAATCTTGGTACTATGCAATCTCTCGTTTTTTTTGTTGCATTATATAATATGAAATTTGATAAGATTTAGAATGGTTTTTTACATAATCATCATAAGATTTATGTATATAATTGAATGATTCCTTAACCTTATCATTTAGAACCTTTAAACAGTTTTTTCCAGTTGTCATTTTATCATGTCCATATCTAAATTGGATCCAAAATATTTTTTGGTAAATGTTTATGCTTGATGAAACATATCAATATCAATAAAAAAATGACATTGATTCCAATGTGTTGAGAATTTTGTAACTTCTCAAGCAAGTTTTTGTGTTTGTGTAGTACCTCCAAGATATAAGTTATGTATCTTAGAAACATCAAATTTTTTGGATATATTGATGTCATAGACCAAGAGTTGAAGAGGGGGCTTTCCGATTGTCTTAGCTTTTACCAAATTGATTTAGTTTTTCTCATCTTTAATTTACGTGAAATGAAGTAGTCACTCGTTACCAAATTGATGTTTCTATTGATGAATATGGATATGTTGAAGGTAGGCCAGTGCGTTTATCATCTGCGAGGAGTAGTGAGCGAATGAGTTGTCTTCTGTGACGAGTAGCGAGCGAGGAACCTACAAGGGATTCTAATTGGCTATTAAACAGAAGAGATGCAACGCTAAAGAAGAATATTTGGTAAAAAGTGGCAAAACAACTCTTAGGCAGATCATGAGTACATTGAGTCGTGAAGGCTGTGAGGGGGAAGAGAGACATGACTGAGAGGAGAGATCATGGATGTTGAGCTTGAGTAGGACCACATGAAATGATGATTGAGATTGTTGCCTTGATATAGCACCACCCATGATATGGAATTTCAGATGTGAAAAAATAGATGGAGTTGAACTTTGGACATGAATCATAAGTAATGAGAATTCCTTTTTTTATCCTTCTAATTGCTGTTTTGCTCTTCTTACACATCTAGTCTTGAACAAATCTTCCCTTTTTTATAATCATTTTGTGCAATTTATACTTCAACGATGCTTGTAGATTCATCTAGTCTAGTTGACCTTGCTCAACCTTTGACTGAACTTTAAGATTTTTGTCTGATCTGCCAACTTGATCCCATCCTGCTTGTGATGGCCTTGATGATTCAATTTTTTTTTTTTTTGATGATTCAATATTTGGATGCAAATAAGTTCACGCAATCCAACTTGACTTGGAGAACATTCCTTTTTTCTAATTGGTTTCAACCATGAATAAGTGTTCAAGCTTGAAAAGGAAAGTGGTCAAGTTGATCAACCTTGGGTAAGATTCTGTATAGGATCTGATGGATTTAGCCTGGCATGTATTATACCTGAACAATAGATTACCAGCTCTTGTTTTGTTAGTTCTTGTTCATCTTCTATGAACTTACTGATCATACAAACTAATATCTGGAAATGTTTCTAATGTGTTTTTCCCTGTTCAGCAAACTTACTATTCTTCTATCAAGGCGAAAATTTTAGCTAGAATTCTTATCCTGAATTATGTTTCTATTGCAGGCATGTGTGAAGAGAATAGATGAGGATGAAACTGGCCATAAGCACTGCACTGGCCAATACTTTGATTTTTGGCACTGCATTGATAAATGCGTAAGAAAACCTTTCTTGACATTTTGATAAAGAATTCAAGCTTGCAATTAGGAGCTATTATTCTGTGCGGACGCCGGACGGTTCTCCCTCCGGTTCCGTGCTCGGTACCGAGCGCGAGTGCGGTACATTTTTTGGGGTGTCGTTGCGCATTTTTATTAATCTCCGAACGCTCCCTACTCCGCATAGAATAAAAATTCTCTTGTTGGATCTAAACAGCTTTTAGTTCCAGCTTATTCAGTGATCTGGAATTTGCAGGTCAGCTTATATACTATTATTGTTTGATTTTGTGTATAGGTTGCAGAAAAGCTTTTTGAAAAATTGAAATGACAAAGGAAGCTGTTTTGGGTGATTGGCTCGTCTTTCCACCAGCTATAAGCTATTGCTTTCTTTGCTCTTCAAAAATAAGTGCCACTTTTGACGTTTTGTTGGCCTTTTTTATCCAGTTTTTTCCTTAATATGACCACATTGTTATGCTCTTATTGAACTTGTTTATTCTCCAAATGACTGCCGATTTATGCGCTCTTCAGTTTTATTGCATTAAATTTAATGACAAAATGCAATTAACTGCCTAAACTTATGGACCTTTTTTGTGATCATTGTGACAATCGTTCTTATAATCTTGCATTATAGTATTATACGTAATATCTTTGTCGCGGCAAATTATTGTGTCCGGTGTCCGGATTCGTCAGGACACCAATAAAAAAGCGCTACGTCACTCAAAAATATTGTGGCCCAGTGCATCTGGGTGAGGTGGCGTGTACGGATTGGATGTCCGCATGTCAGGTGACCGGACACAATAATTTGCCCTTTGCTGTATGGGAGAAAGTACCATACCAGTGGGTGTGTAATGGAACTAATCAAATTGTGAGCCAACTTGAGCTTGGATTAAGTTTTGTTTGGGACAGTTTTTTTATTACTTTTTTTAAAAGTTTTTTAATATAAAAATTTTTAAGTCAAAAAAATTTTGCGCTAAAAATATTTTAGAAAGAAAAAAAAAACTTTCAAAGTAATTAATCATAATCTTTCATGGGTAGTTAGATTTGTTGTTTATAGAAAATAGGTGCATCAATGTAAAAGCTCTTTTTTTAGTGGCTTTGGAATTTAAATATTTAAAGCAAAATAAAATTAACCTGTGAACCGCACAACTATAAAATTAAATAATTAAAAAATAAAAATTTTGTAGAAATCATATCTATAGGTTGATAAAGAAATTTGATAAAATGCAATAAATGTCTCAACTATTTAATTATAATTTACAATTGAAGTTGATATGGCTACTCATCAGAAGTTGGCTAGCCCAATTGAAATTGGCCAATGACTTCAAATGAGTCCTCCGCTAAAGGCGGAGATAAGCGTAACTGGAAATCGATGGCTGATGCCACTCCGCTAAAGTCTAAAGTCCATAAGCTATTTCTAACCCTTCCGGCCCCAATGGCTCAATGCCGGTTCGGTCCACCTCCTCTTGTTCGACGCAACCGGAGCTCTTGGGGCTCGTGGCAAAGGGGCATTGGCGGCAGCTCGGGCAGTTGGGCCGGGTTAAAAGCCACGGGTCGATGCAACGCACGTGAAAGCCGTGGCGGCAGATAGAAAGAAGCCGGATTCAGTCGCCTGGTTCGATCTCGTTGAGACAAATGGCGCACTCCGAACCTGAACCGGCTAGTCTAAGATCGGGTGAGAAGAACTCGACTGGGACCTTTCGGATGGCTCGTCGGCGAGCGGCGACGCCGGGGAGTGCGATGGGGAAAGACTGGTTGGAGCGGCCAGAGAAGTGGAAAAGACCGTTGACGAGGGCATTGAGGCCGAGTGCACAGGTGATGAGTATGAGAATAACGGCAACAATTATGATGACGTTGGTATGGAACTTGGAAGGTGGTGGAGGAGGGGGAGGATTGGCCGGCGGCGAACTTGGGGCTGCTGATTCTACAGGGGAGGAGGCGGTGGCGAGAGCAGATGGCCATGGGTTTGAGTTTGTGGTAGCTAGAGACTTGATTAGAAGGAGATCGAGCGGTATTTATCATAGGAGGTTTCTACAGTGGTTGGTACACCGATAGCAGAATGGCGAATGGCAGGTTAAATTATTATAATATTAATATATTTTAATTAATTATACATTTTGATCATGCATGATCATCTGTCTGGATTGCTTGCAAGTTTTTATTTATTTATTTTAATTTCATATGTTTATTACTCCTACTAATAATAATAATTATTATTATTATAAAAATAATTTAGTCGTCCCAAACAAAGCCTCAATGAGTACCTTCTCAGTTCATTTTGATTAGCCATGAGTACCTCAGTTCATTTTATTAGTGTGGAAGGTGGTGGAGGGGGAGGATTCGCCGGCGGCAGAATTGGGGGTGGTGATTGTACAGTAGAGGAGGAGGCGACGCGAGGAGAGGGCCATGGAAAATTCGAGTTTGCGGTTGTCAGATATATAGCTCTGCAAATATCGGGTTTGTGGTTATCAACTAATTTTACCGCACCATGGAACTGTTGCAAACAAAATTATTTATAAAAAAATCATTTATACAAAAAGATTGATGCTTTTTTTTAAGTGAATTTTTTAGCACAAAATTTTTTTATTCAAAAAAATTTTATACTAAAAAATTATTTTAGAAAGGATTAAGAAAAATATCTCAAATAAAGCTTAAATAGAAAAAAAAGTATTTATGAATAAAAAAGAATGAAGATAACCTGTGTATTGGTACTGAAATCAAAATAGAATATTCCGCACAAGCCAACCCTCTTTCATTGTTTTTTTGATGGATATTTACACTAATTAAGATAAGCCGACACACACATTACATACTTAAGACTTGAATATAAGACCTCTTGTTTGGTAGACAAAGCTCCCAACCAATAGATAAAAAAACTTGCGTGCTTTTATTGTCGATTGTCCGTAGGAATGCCCATCTACATCTCATATTTTGCCCTTTTGCCCACCCTTACTCAAAAATCCCTAAAGTAACATACCTCATAAAATGTCGTTGAACGAGTGTCACGACTCGTATAAAGTCGTATTAAAGCCGCTTAATGCGAGTCTGGCTTGGGTCACCTTCGGGTTAACGAGTTGACCCAAACCCGACTTGAATTCTATACGAGTCCAAAAATTATATCCGAACTAGGCCCGTTTCTTTAACGGGTTGACCCGAACCTAATTTTTTTAGGTCGTGTCAGTTATTGACACCCCTACATACAACCGAAAGGATAATGCCAATAGAAAATGAGCTACAAAACAAAAAAGCTTTACATCAAATAGTATTTGCAGTTGATTATAAACGAGGCTCTTTATTGGGGGGAAGGCCTTAGCTTGATGTAACAAATTTACATCAAATAGAGTGTGTTACATGGTAGAAACATGAATAATCATAATTGATGTGTTTGTTTGGTCGGAAGGATCGTAGTCGGTGGGCGACGTAAGTTGGAAGGATCGTAGTCGACGGGCGATGGAGGTCATAAAGATCGTTATATGATGATGGAGGTTGGAAGGACGACGTCAAGTAGAATTCCAGCGTTGGACAAAAGTCCAACATCGAATATAAGTCCAACGAATGTCGGGCGACGGTCAAAAGTTCAGCGTCAGGTAGGAGTCCGACTTCGCGTAGAAGTCCGATGGAGCTATGGTAACAGGTGAAAATCCGAAGTCAGGCAGGAATCTTGTGACGAGCGGAAGTTCAGCATTAGTTAGAAATCTGACAATGGGCGGAAGTCCGATGCCGGGCAGGAATCTGATGACGGGCGGAAGTCTGATGTCGAGTAGGAATCCGGCGACGGGCGAAAGGCAAGTGTCGGGTAGGAATCCAGCGATGAGCGGAGGTCTAGCGTCGGTAAGAAATTTGGTGATGAGCAGAAGTCCGGCGTCTGGTAGAACTCCGGCATCATATGACATTCGGGCAGAAGTCAGGCGTCGGTAGGCTTCCAAGTGGTAGTCTGGCGGTGGTTGAGGAAGAGTTTGATGACAAGAGAGATATCTTTCTTCTCTTCCTTTTCTTCCTTCTACTCTTGCTTCCTTGCATAATTCCGGTTTCAGTTGGTGATCGAGCAGAAGTCTGGCGTCTGTCGACTACCGGGTGAAAGTCCAACAATGGTCGAGGAGTCTCTTTCTTCTCTTCTCTTCTTGCTTGGGCCTCCTTCTCCAGCCCCCCCAAATAGTTTTCATAGAGTGGCATGACTAGTAAATATGAGAAAAATCAAGGGTAAATTGGGATTGGTTTGAATGGACGACCGATGTTGAACCATTTGATCATAGACCGTTTATTGGGCATTTGAATGTCTTAATGATATCATAATTCAACGATCTTAGGCTCGTTGGATTTGTCTTGTTGAGCCGCTCGATTTGATTATAAGCATGTCGTGTTTAGAAACTGTTTGATTATCCAAATTATTGTTTGAATCTTCCGAATGTGCTCCAGGCCTTCAATTTGAACCAATTTGAGCTCGGATTTGGTGTCGTTGCTTTCGTATTTCTGAGACGTTCAGTTCGACTATAAGTTTGCCGAAATCGGAGCTCAGATGATCCCAAATTTAATTTTTAAAATTTCCAACTTGATTTTGGTTTGAGATTCGTCCCTTAATTTTTTGATGATATATCAATATTAATAAAGATAACATGTAAATAAGAGTTGCGATCATATTAATAAAATATGTAAGTATTTCAATAATATCAAAATAATCATTGCAATCAAATTAGCATGCTAAAAAAAATTTATGTTATAACTTGAGAAAAAAGAATATTATTTGAAGTAATTGAAGGTAATCATATTGAGATTCAATTAGCGCCATAATAATTTTTCTTTCGTACGACCCACCTAAGTCTATAGATTGAGAGCTTAGATTTTTAATAAGTAATAATATTGGACAATCGACCCGGAAGTAGGTTGGTCTGAGCGGAATTTGGTTTGGCTTCAAGCCTTCAATAGTAGTGCTCAGGTTTTCTTCATTCTTTTGTTTTTTTTTTTTATATAAATAGAATATTTTTATCTATTTGATGTCAAAATAAATTATTGTGCTGAAATTTAAAATTAGTTGATAATATTTTTTATTAGATATAAAAAGTTGTGTGAAAGCATTAGTAGTATAATGCTGATAATACCTAATAATCATACTTGCTCTATGAAAATTGAAAATAAATAACTATATTATTATTATTATTATTATTAGCATTAGCATTAATAAACATGTTGCGGACTAGAATATACGGGGCAATAGAGTTAAAATACTTCCGTCTCAGCATTGTACGAATATCTAGTGCACAAATAAAGGAGAAATAGCAACACCAAGATTTTTACGTGGAAAACCCTGGAAGGGGAAAATCCACGGGGCTACGCCCAAGTGAAATAGTTCCACTAGTATTCGCTTGAAGTACAAGAGGTTGACTCGTCCTTAAAATTTAGGATGATCAGATTACAATGAATCTCTTTAGGATTGAAAGTCAGTTACAACGTCGACCAGAGTTTCGGTGTCGTTCCGAAGTTGAGCAGAATTTTGACGTCGTTTGAAAATTTGGTAGAATTCCGGTGTCGGACAGAATTCCAGCGTCATTTGGGAAGAATTCCGCCGTTACTCGGGCGTCCGGCAGAATTCCAGCGTTACTCGGGCGTCCGGCAGAACTCCGGCT